TAAGATCATTGGTCAGGTTCATTGTTTAAACTGAATCTCAATTACGGAGATTGGATGCTAACTGTGATCATTTATCACTTTAACTGACCAACAGAGTTGATGTCAAATTTGATTTTAACCATTTCACGATGTCAATCATTTCGTTTAATTTCACATATTTTGATCAATTGCTTCATTGTCTTAACTTGATTAACCTAAAATTTTACCAGATTATTTGAGCCTCCAACCGAGTCAAAGTAGGGTAAACCTTGTCTTCAGGTATTCAGGGTTTGAATGGACCCTCAATCAAGCTGAATTGCGTGTAAAATTAAAATATTTATATGAATAACAAAAAAATTAAATCAATTGGTTTGTCCTCATCATAATGAGAATCCAGTTGAATATCATTTTTCATTGCATGTCATCTCTTGAAGATGAATTTTCAATCTAATCATTTGTTGATCAACGTTCATCAACGGTTATACTTTAACTGGTTGTGTGAGTGTAAAAAATCTGGTTTTGTGTTGAAGGGACAATTATTACAGGGTTAACAAGAAAAAGGTTTACCCTTTGCCTTACAGCAATTGCCCTTGGAACCACAAAATTCATCAGATTATTCTAAATTCTTGTTGTTCCATTCAACGTTGAACTTGATTATAATTGGGCCAAAGTTAACGTTTAACCGGGTTAATAAGGTGTAGTTAAGTTACAATTAACAGTTATCATAGTTGTTGCCCTTTGGCTTGGATATAATATTTGGATTAACAATCAATTGAGGCCAAATTAAAGATGAAAGCTGAACACGCGAAAACCAAAATTGGATTAAAATGAAAATTTTTAATTGAAAGTTTACTCTTGATTAGTAAATTATACAAAATTACAAATCAATTGCTATTTTTGTGTTGTTACTTGAAACAAATTCAAGGTTTAAAAAATGATTCTCAATGATTAGTCTTTCAAGATTCATGGTTTGCTGGTGATTTTCATCAAAAACACAATCTAATCGTTCAACTGTAAACCCATTTTGACACCAAATAAAAGCTGTAGTTACAATTGTAAAAACAAATTGTTAATCATTCGTGTTTATTGTTTCAACGAAAACTGAATTCAAATTGAGTTGTATCAGCATTACAATCAATGATAAAGATGAAGACAAATTGAACAAATTGATTGTTCACTTGCATAGAAGAGAAGCAAAAAAATGATCTCTTCATTTCACTGTTAACCATTTAATTGTGAGAATCAATAAACAATGTTTGTCAACTGTGAAGGTTAATTAGCTGATTTGCCACTCATTTACTAATCAATCTTACATTAACTTTTGCTGTGAATTTTGTCATTACATTTCATTTCATTTACAATGAATTGTAAAATCCTAATTCCCATGAACTTTAACTTGTTCAACTTTCTTTTGCTCACATAATCAAGCCATTTAAATTGTAATTATTGTCAACAATTAGATTGGTAAAAAACTCATCATTGAAAATTGATTACAATTCATTGCAACCTTTGGTTACTCTACTTCATTGAAAGTCTAACATTTGGAAAGATTCAATTTGCACTTCTTTTTGATCAGCTTTAAATGCTAATTATCACTGCTAATTATGATGATAATGAACTTGCATTGAACAGTTGATTACATGAAAATAGTTAATTTACTCTTGTGTCTTCCCTTTTCTTGCGCCGTCAATCATCTGGAATAATTGTGTTTAATATATTGCAACTGTTTACAATTAGTTGATTAACCCAGGAAGAATAGTTTTAAGTGAACAAATGGTAAAATGAAACACTTGACTATCAAATCAAATGATTGAATAGTGACTTAAACAGACCAACTAACCATTAAATTGACTTTAGACTTACAATTAGTTTGTTAGCTGACAATTTGTTTTATTCAAAGATAGATTTTCAAACCAGAAATTCATCCAAAGATCATCTGTCGAGTTCATTTTCATGGTGAAAAAATGAATTGAATTACAAGTCAAAGGCTATTATTGAGTCTGTTTGGGTTTGAGGTCTCAAGGCCTGACAGTCAATTGAAGTCAACCCAATCTAGAGCAATGAGTCCAGTTGACCAGAAAATAGACAAATTGGACAAAAAATAAGTGTAACAATCAAATTGGAAAAAAGTACAAAATCAAAATCAAAATGGTTCTGCAATCATTTAAGGTTACCAACAATTAAAACACTTTTTTATGTTGTTTACAAAAAATACAAATGTTAGTATTTTTAGCATTTTTAATGCTAATTCCAGACTGTATTCATGAATTCATGACAATTACAATTGATTAAAATTCAAGATGATCAAGTTACCATTGTTGGATACAAACTCGTCAGTGATTGTGTGAATAATAATGATCATGAAAATAAACGCAATCACACCCACATAAACATGAAAATTTAAATTAACGATATTAACGTCAACCTGGTAATAAACAAAGTCACAAACAACAATCAACTGCCAGTAAAAACAATCAACTCATTTGCTAATCAGTAAACCTTTGATGTTTTTTTTTCGAACCACTTTTTTTGTGTCTTTTGCATAAAATGTGATCTGCGCTTTTTTTACATTCAATGACTTTTTTTGTTGAACAATAACAACAAAAAGTCTGCTTAATTGTAACCATCATTTAACCATCATTGAAACCTTTATTATAATGATGATCAACAGTCAAACAATAACGTTAAAGTGTTGTTTAAATCACTTTGTTTATTGTGCGTGTTTATGTTTAATGTTTAATATGGTTTTTGTGTATAAATCTATTTTTAGGGTTATCGTCCGTTTCAGTTATTTGTTGTACTCAAGGGTTAGTGACATGAATCGCTGTTTGTGTGTGTGTGTGCTTCATACTTGTGTTATTGAGTACAACAAAACTGGCCTCAAAGTGAGTCTAAACGGTTCGAGGAATCAGAAATGATCTCAACAATGTTCAAGATGGTCAGGTTGTTGGTTATGGGTTTCATGTTTTGTTTTTTGCTTTTTGGTTTATCACTTGTTAGGAAGAGGAAAAGGCTGAGTTTGGTTAATTTGCTTTCTGAGATTAATGTTAATTTAATTCACTTGATGGTCAACATTTTCACTTTTGATGAGCAAACAATTTAAAGCTTACAATTTATTAACATTCAGTCTTGTCTGGTGATTTTGTTTTGTTTTTCTCATTGTTTCTAATGTTTCAAATGTTTCTCATTTTGAAAACCACTTTTGATCAGTTAATTGTTTATCTTGTAACATTTTAAATTATTGTCATTAAACAATCTAAACTGTAACCAACAATCAATTGTATATTGGCTTCTTGTTTGCTTATAAATTGTGTTAAACAGCCATCTGACTGTTTTTCAATCTTGTTATCTGGTTACATTTAGTTAACTGATTGTTACCTTTTTTGTCCTCTATAATTATTGAATCAAGCTTTTTTCTCGATGATTGATTGTTAGCAATTAAACATGTAAAAAGGTTTCTCATTCATTTAAATAACTGCAATTAGCTGATAATTAGATAACTGCTTTAATTGTGATTTTCAGTTTGATTCAACTTGATTTTGTTGAAAGGCTTTCATTTTTACCATCAGATTTGTATTATTTACATCTTGACTTAATAGTTGACTAGCTAATTGTGATCGGGTAAACAATTAGATTAACTGTCAATGAACTTAAAGACTCGAAATTGCAGTTAATTGTTTAATAATCAATTTAATTGATTGACAATAAAATATCTAAATTAATTGTTGTTGAGAAAAAAACAAAACTGTCATGAAAATTATTTCCAAAAGTTACTTTTTTTCCTTCTTTTTTGATCAATTGAAATCGATTACTTTCAATCATTCTTGAGTAACATTTAATAAATTTGAAGGATCGTGTTGTTGAATACAATTGATTTATCAAGTGAAACAATAAATAACTTTTTTTGTTTTTTGTTTAATTTGAACTTGAAATATTTTATATTGCCCCTTTAAACCGTTGCAAGAGCACAAGTAATGAGTGCAATTGATTTAGTTGCTATTATCGTCATGATATCAGCTAAGGCTATGAATAAAGGTGTATCAGAATCGTGAAAGATCCAAATCAATCAGTTCCCACTCAGTTTGAATGTTAAAATTTGTTCATCTCCCTTTTTATTATCGACAGAATGATCATCATCCAAATCATTGAGGCACCATTTTAAACTCTTTTTTGTTAACTGAAAGGTAAAACAGTAGGAGAAGCAACAGTTAAACCATTAGAAATTTAATCAATACAACAGCAAATTGTTCCGCTTTCAGGATGAACCAATGGAAAGTGATACTCCGATAATGTAATCATGTTTAGATTAGTGAAAATCTAATTGAAAGCTAATCAAGTCTCTGATCACGTTCAAAAGGTGAATTTGGGTAACCATGTTAATGTATTTTCAGATGTGTTTCCAAAAAAAGTGGCGATAATAAAAGGTGAAAAGAAGATATTAAATCAATTGACTTTTGACTCAGTTTAATCCAAGTGAAAGTTCCGTCATTCTTTTCTTTTTCCAATAAACTTTATATTGGCACATGGTAAAACTCAATCCATTCCGGCTTCATTAGATGAATTAATGATGAGATCAGGTTCTGTCAATCTCCACTCCACTCCTTTGTTCTCTACATATTTTGAACTTTTTTACCGTTAATCCTTCATTGGTAACATTGTCATCACTTAAAGTAGACTTGATAAGAAAATGGCCATAAAAATGTCGACAGTTGATAGCAATAGCTGCTCATAAATTAACTTAACATCCATAAATAACAATTACTAATTGTCCATAGTCTATTGTTTATCTTGTGATTATCTTGTGATCAATTCAGGTTGAGAGCCATCTAGGAACAAGGTGAATAATTGTGACCAGACCGCGAAAGACGAGACTTCTGTTAAATAGATGGGAAATGAATTTTAATCATTAATCAGTTGTATTATTCAGTTATTTTTTCATTGATATCTGAAATAGAGGAGGAAGTCGATTGATATTTGAAAGAAAGAAGAGAGAGATGAGAGGAAGAGAAGGAGCGAGTGCGCTTGGGTGAAAAATTGTTGATGAAAATAGAGTTTACTTTTTTCAAAGTCGCAAAAGTGTATTGAAAGTTAAACAAGTTGATTTAACCTGTATAACTAACCAGTTTTTATCTTCTTTTTCTCATTCTCTTTTAGATTAACTTCGCAACTCTGTCATCATTATTATCAACACAACAGCACCACCAACAACAACAACAACAAATACAGCAACAAGATGAAACATAACTTCGATTAACCTTCTTCTAGTGTCATCATCATTACCTATTTTTCTCGACTTCTTCTTATTATTTCTATTACCTTTTCTATCATTTTTCATTATTATCTCTCCCTTTCACTTGAATAGCTTCTTTTCACCAACTAATTATTTGCATCAATTGTTTCCATTCATAAAGACCAAACCTTTTCATGTTTTCAACTAAAACTTTCACCGTTCAACAGGTTCACTGATCATCTTCACCATTTACTACCATCATTATCATTATCAATTCGTCAAGTGTTGTCACATTCTTCATTTTCGTCAACTCGTCATTTTAGATTGTTTTTAGGTTTGGCTCCTCACCATTCAACACATTCATCATCATCCAGTAGTGGCATTACTTTTTTACTTTAAACCAACAGTTACTTTCAAAAGCTGCCAACATTAAGCTTACACAGTAATGTCCGTTGTGTGTCGATCATTCAGGCAAAATGCCTGGAAAAAAGATCTTTGTTCTGATTGTTTCCGTCCAGAAAATGATCATCAAATGGTTGATGTCCATGTCAACTCTAATGGTCCCAACATAGTTAATACAACTGAATGGAGTGGTAAAGTTCAAGCTTTACAGTCAACCAAGGTTAACCTATCAGAGTTGAAGAAAAATGGGAATACCAATGGATACAATAAAGTGAATAATATAAATGGTAATAATAATGTGAATACCTACAAAATATCAGCAACATCAACACTACCCGCAAATACGGATGCTGTTAATGAAAATAACTTCAACAATGGTGATATTTTCAATGGTAAGATTGCCATGCTTAACCAACGTAATTTGGATAAATCTGAAGACTTGTATGATAATGTGAAAAATTCAACAAACGGCCATAACGATAAATTTAATGGTAATTGCCAAACTAATAAAACACAGACGATAAGATTAAACTCTATGCCTTTGGTACACAAGGTTGTTGGAATTCTTAAAGTAAAGAGTGAATCAGGTGAACAAGCGCGCAAAGGATCAGTTCAATTTAAATGTGAACCTATTGTCATTGGTTACTGTGATGATGATGACTCGGGAAATGAAGAGGAAGAAGAGTTTGATTATAGTGATTACAATCCAGACGATGATGATGATCATTCAGAAGAGGACTCTGAATTTTCTCGGTTAACTGCTTCCAATACGAGGTTTAACTCTATTGGAGCTAATCTTCGCGATGCCAAAATACTGCAAACATTTGGTCAAATAAACAATCAAAGTGTTGGTATAGCTTTCCGAATTGGTGACTTTAAATCCGAAACAAGGAAACATGATTACGATGAAACTTTAATTGGATGTAACAGAGTCTCAGAGTTGATTGGTGAAGAAAAACGTGGTAAACTGACTAATGGGTCAAATGGTAACTCTACTATAGCTAATGGAACCAACAACTTGTTATCAACAAAAAACGGTTCTGGTGATAATTACATCAACAACAAAAAGAATGTAGATGGTGACGAGTTGGTGAAGAAAAGTAATGGTGTTAATGGAAATAATAATCTAACTGATCATGATGGGTCAAATGGCAGGCCCGACGATAATGTGAAAAGAAATGCTGGGAACATGAATAACAACAACAGCAAAGACAATAACTCAACATTGCCAATCGTTCCTATTACTTTAAACTCTAATACGGTTAACTCTACAATAATTAGCAGTCCTATGATATCAACAGTTTCATCTTCACATGTTAATAATACAAATACAACAACAACATCATCATTAACATACAGTTCTGGTAAACCTTTAGAAACATCAAACACCTCAACAAACAAAGTCAACAACACACCAGCCTCCGCAAACACCAACAATGCTACCATTCCTGACAATACCAGTGATACTGTTAATAATGATACATCAAACATTATGGGTAACGGAGGGTCCTTGAGTTTTAAAGCGACTGATTCTTCAGCCAAATATAATACCACCAATAATAGTCTGAAAAGTGAAATAAGTAAAACATCACAATTGACTACGCCTTTAGTCCTAATTTCATCAACCCATTGTACCACTGTTGTAACCATTACAACAACTACATGTTCGTCATCTAATAAACTTAATTCTGTTTCTACTTGTGCGCCACATCAGACGACGCCATCGTCATTGTCTTCTGTATCTTCTGCATCGCCAATAGTCACCATTGCTCCTATGAAATCAGAAGCTGTGAATGCCAAGGAAAAGTTGACATGCAAATCATACCAAGAAAGTTCAGATGATACTAATGGAAATAAATCAAGTTACAATAATGGGGAAAATCAATCAACCACTGTAGCAGATTCTCATAATGAATTAACCTGTATAAGTTTACCTGTAACTAACGGAAAGTTGACTCAATTAGAGATTAATGATGATTACTCAATTGATCCCAGGAAAGTTGTGGGACCTGAAATTGAATACACATCAAGTAAAACTGTTGACGAGACAGAGGTTATCTTTATTGGTGGCGGCATAAACAGACTGTCATTAGTTTCAAAGGATGATCAGGTGGAAAATGAATTATACTTTGAAAATAGAGGCGTTAATAGAAAAAAATTGGAATCAATTGACAGTGAAATGAAATCAAATGATGATCCTGATGTTGATGATTGCTCTTCTACGACTGATGTAGCCGATTCTGCTGTGTCAAATGTTTTTACATCAACTGATGAGGATGATGATGATGATAACGAGCAGAGAAACGATCAAAATGACAATAATGAGGTTAACAATGAAGTTAACGATGATGTTGTAATATCATCCGTATCATTAACTTTAGTCAACAAATTCAATGATACTAGAGAAGAAGAACGATGTTCTGAAAGCATCGAAATTTCAGCCAACATTAACAACAATAATAATTTAACCACTAATGGTAAAATTAATTCAATTAATGATGAAAGGAGTGAGATACCCAAAAAACCGGAAAGAACATTGAAATCATTAAAGCCCAAAATACCATCTAAACCATTTTCATTGAGTCATGGTAATAAGGTCAATGATGAAGATTATTTTTACGGTAATGGCATTGAAACCCATTTAAATAGTAATGATAACAGTGACAATACTAAACAATTTAGTTGTGACAATGGTTTAAATAACTCGGTTGTCGATCAATTTGCTCAATCAAAAAGTGAAATCAACTCAACCTCCTGGGATAACAATCATCAATCAAGCCGAGAATTGCGATTAGCTGAATTGGCCCAAGAATTGGAATCGGTACGTCACCCAGGCAAACGTCAAGCTCCTATCCCACCGCCATCGACCCATGAAGTTTCCGATAGACAGGCCAAGTTTAATACTCTCACTAGATCAGGTTTACCTGCTCCACCGCCTCGCCCACCTCCACCTTCTGGACTTAAACACATTGTTAATGGAGTTACCAATGGTTATCATGGATCAAATATTTTTCACTCCAATGGAAACAGTAATAACAATAGTGGAAGCACCAAGTTTTCACTGAAAAAATTGTTGAAATTATCCAAGGATGACAATGATTTGGAGCACAATGGTGAATCAATCAGTGGAAAGATTTGGAAACACAAATTTGATTTGGATAGACGTAAAAGTAGTCCAGGTCATAATGTTGACTCTCAAGATCGATCAACATCAGGATCTTATGATGTTAACAGATCATCTTTTTATGGAAATGGTCGAGAACGAAGTTACTCTCTGAGTGGAAACTCTTGTTTACCGCAACCTCAGCAACTCTTGCTGAACCAACAGGCTCAACAACAGCAAAATAAACCCAACGGATTTCGTCCTGTTGTTCCTGCTCGTCGTAGTCGATCAAATGATGTAAATCTCAATAACAATGATAAAAATTCAATCGATAGTCAAATGTTAAACCGTTTAATCACTTCATCAACAAATGGTTCTTTCCATTGTAAACCAATTGGAATATCAACTCAATCTCAGCTTACTATTTCACCTGTATCTTCACCTACTAGTTCATCCCTGTCAAACAGTGTCTCCTCACCCTCACCGCCATCATCATCAACCTCACCTTTACCTAGATCAACCACTAGATTATCATCACAATCAGACTTGATCTTGACCAACCTTAATCTAGATTCCGCCTACACTGTCATAGCTAAATATAATGCTGACACTTTGAACCGTATACTCCATAATTATTCATTAACTCATCAATCATATAAGAATATATCCAAAAAAGATCTTTTCTACGAATCTTTTCGCTTGATTGGACCTGAATCGAAGATATACAAAGATGCTTACCTTAAAAGCGAAACTATATCAGCCAATTTTCTGGTAAGTTATCTCAGCGTCCAAAACCATTAGGATTAAAATGGTAGATGCTTGAGTTGGCAGTTAACTGAAATTGAAAACTAATTTCAACCATTTGTTTGACTAGAGAGTTAGAATTGATTTTAATTGTTAAAGATTAGGTCAATGGCTTTCGTAATAGCTACAATTTTGTTACTAATTAGAAAAAGAAGCTCTCGATTGTGAATTGTAAATTGAAGACAGGTGATACACTCTCAATGAAATGATGTTTTTCTCAACGCTAAAATTGACTGTTGAAGTGTTCAACATTTATTCCTTTTATTTTTTTTCTCCTTCACCAAACATCACAAGTATCTTAATATAAATTGTAAAAATTGAGTAGCAATTTACAGGATCATTTTGGAAAGTTACAGTCAAAACAACAATTTACACGATATGGGCCAGTAAACGCGATGACAGGGAGAAACACTAAAAAATGCTTAATAGACAAAACTAAAGTTGACAAATCCTGAATTTGACAGAAGTCCTTCATTTCCTTCACCTTTTCACAAGACTCAGATAAAATTGAGAAATATTAACACTCATCAATTGGTTTGAAATTATTTTATTATTAGTATCAAGCGAATCAGACCTTCTCATTATTGAACAAGTTTATATATTAATGATTCAAGTCTCTCTTTAACCAAATTGATTAATTTTTTTACTCTTTTCCGATTCCAGGTCACTCCTTTGGCTTACTCAATTCGCTCCGAAGTCTCTTTTGATCTTAAATACGGCCAATTCATTGATCCCGATGAGAATGTCAAAATGTTTGCCCTTAAACCAGAATTTGACTTGATTATTACCCTTGATCGACTTTTGGATGAAGATTCTTCAGAGCTTACTGGAAGCTTGAACTTGAAAAATGCTGCTTTCATTATTCTTCAATTTATCAGTTTACTCAAATATTACCAAGCCAATGGAATTGAAGGAGTTAATGAAGATCAATTAAAGTTAACTATGTTATGTTGTAATAAGAAACAGACAACCAACAACATGTACTTGATTAGTCCTTCATTTGATTATGTCTCCAATGTTACAAAGCATTATTCAGATTCGTCAACAAGCTTATCACTTTGTAAATGTGTTAAAGTATTAGTTAGAAATTTGAGACGTAAATTGACTAAATCTGATGATCTTTTAACATTGGTGGAAGACATTTTGCATGAAGAGACATCTTCTTCCCTAACCATAGCCAAATCTTTGTGTGAAATCATTTTATTTGAGGTTCCATTCAATTTTGAATCACAAGGAACTTTGGAACTGTGGTTGGATATTCAACGAACCAAATTTATTAATTTGTTAAACTATGAGACTGAAAAGGAGTCAGCAAGCCACAAAACTGTCCATAATTACTATTTTATGTTATTTTTAACTCGATCCAATTTAAAGATTCTATTTCAATGTATTAATCAAGTTAGAGGTAAACTTTTATCCCTTTCTTGAACATTCAATTATAATTTTCCTACGTTTTTCACCATATTTAACCTTTTACTTTTGCTTTTTGGTCATTGATTGTCTGATGTTTATAAAAAGTATTCAAGTAATCTTAACATGTTAATATTTTTTAAAAAAAATTGTTCTGAGTAATTATCTGTCAATCCAAATGATTTCATTGTTCAGCCTTAATGAGCACAATGAATACTGATTTCAATTATTTTCATCTGATGAAATGCTATCGATTTTTCACTAATTTTTACCATTCAATGTCAAATTAATAAATTTTCTTGTTACATTGATGATACATTGATGAAAATAAAAGCTAATTTCATATTTAAACTGATCCTTGAACATTTAATCTTTAACCCTCCTACTCACACAATTTATTTCATGGAAATATGGAGAATCGGAAATTTTAAATGTAGGCATCATTGTAATGAATTGTAAGATTCAATAATTATAATTATCTTCTACATACGTCAAGAAATTACAACATAATTTCACTACATTATCAACTCAATGGTTTACAGATTATGAAATTAATTTGTAATCAGGATGTAAAATTTTGAAACATTAATTAAAGGTAAGTTGGAAATATTGATGATGTTCAATTGCTATAAAATTCAAGCAACTATTTCAAAATTAGTGGTGGTTGAATTGGTTACCATGGAGCTGTTCTTTTCTTTGTCATCGAAGACATTAAGAAATTTCTAGAATAAACGTGAAATGATTTGATTTAAACATTGAGCATCAGCAATCAAACATTACACTCAAGGTTCATAATCATTTCTTATCGATCAGTTACAACACATTAAGGAAAGACCGCTTTCTACTTTTAGTTCAGTTGTTTCCATCGAATTATTGGTAACTGTTCTAGATGATGTACATCGGCAAGATCTATATTAATTAGACGAAAAAAGGTGAGTACAATTATTTTTAATCAAATTTGAAATAATCAAATATTAGATTATGAATCAGGGAAATTTCAAGTAACATTGAAACTTTGTAAGATCACTCGAACTCATTATCTTTAATCCTTTCATTTTTTAATTACCTTATTCATTTACTTAATTACGTTTTTGATTTTCATCAAATTGATTAATCAAATTTACATTTAATTCCAGATACAATTCATACTCGAATCTTCTCATATTAACATTTTTGATTAATTTTGTGAAATTAAATTTCATATATTATTTAAATTATGGTGAAAGAAACGGGCTACTATGATATTCTTGGTGTTAAGCCAACTGCAACTTCAGATGAACTGAAGAAAGCCTACAGGAAATTGGCTTTGAAATATCATCCTGATAAAAATCCAAACGAAGGTGAGAGGTTTAAGGCTATAAGCCAAGCCTACGAAGTTCTAAGTGACCCTGATAAACGACGTTTATATGATGATTACGGAGAAAAAGGTATCAAAGAAGGTGGCCATAGTGGTTCATCACCTATGGACTTGTTTGAAATGTTCTTCGGTATGGGCGGAAGCAGACAACGTCACGCAGGTATGTTAATTTTCAATTTGCATGGGTTGAACAAGAGCTAACTATTTTTTTCTTTGTTTCTTTTTCCTTGAAACTCTAGGTCCTAGAAAGGGAAAAGACGTAGTCTATCAATTAGGAGTGAGTTTAGAGCAGCTATATAATGGTTCGACGAAAAAATTGGCTATTAGTAAAAAAGTTGCCTGTGATAAATGTGAGGGCAGGGGATCAAGTGACCCTAAAAAGGGTTATGTAACTTGTGAGAAGTGTCATGGATCTGGTCGTCAAGTTAGAGTCCAGCAAATGGGCCCTAATATTGTTCAACAAGTTCAAACCATCTGCGGAAGTTGCAATGGAGCAGGAGAGTTCTTAAATCCTAAGGATAGATGTAAAACTTGTGATGGTGCTCGTATAATTAAACAAAAGAAAATAATAGAAGTACATATTGATAAAGGTATGTCGGATGGTCAGAAAATAACTTTCTCTGGAGAAGGTGATTTTGAGCCGGGATTAGATCAATCAGGTGACTTAATTGTAGTTATCGACGAGCAGGAGCATCCTATGTTTAAAAGGTCACGAACATCAAATGCTGATCTCATAATGGCTATGGAGATCACTCTGACTGAAGCCCTTTGCGGAATGCAAAAGGGTATCAAAACTTTAGATGACCGAACTTTAGTCATTTCATCATTACCAGGAGAAGTCATCAAACATGGAGCAATCAAATGTATTATGAATGAAGGAATGCCCCATTGGAAGAATCCATATGAAAAAGGACGACTTATTATACAATTTACTGTAAAATTCCCTGATAATTTAGATCCCGTAATTATTCCCCAACTTGAAAACTTACTCCCCCCTAGACCTATCGTAAACTTACCGACCGATGGTTCAGCTGAGGATGTTGTTTTAATGGATTTGGATCTTGAAAAAGAAAGTTATATGAGAAATGACCGAAGATCATATTATGAAGAAGATGATGGTCCAGGAGCAGGACCAGGTGTACAATGTGCTGCCCATTAACTTATCGGCAATTTAGTGAATTTACTGGACCAATATGTGTTTATTAATCATACTGGTTACCTAGATCCAAATCCAGTCATCTCTAGTATCTAAGAATGAAATTAACTCAATTCTTCAACCTTCTCCTTCCAACACCTTTGTATTTAATGTAACTTATGTTCGGTTATCATGATAACTACACCCGAATCCTTTTATTCCTCTGATTCTTATTACGAGGCTGCAAGTTTTGAATTGCGATGGAAACAGGTTCTTACCTCTTATTGAACTTTTGTTCATCAATTTCTCTATTAAATGATTGATAATTATATCAAATCAATTTGAATTATCTTGTCATCATCCTTATAAGCTTTCAAATTTTTGAAATCTTGTTAATATTCTCTTTTACAATCAAATAGTTGAAAGATTAAATACAATTCGACTCTGTATTTATTTATGACTCTTTAGTAATCCTTTATTATTTTGTTGTTAATTGTTGCTTAATTTAAAGATATTCGATGTTGATATTAAAAATTTAGTCTTGACAAGGATTTTTCTGTTGTATTAAAGATATCGAGCAAAGCAAGACAAATCATCATGCTTCACTTGTAAGGAATACGTTTAAATTAAAATTGCTGAAATTTTTATTATTTTTCATCAAAAGCTTTAGTAATTGTTGATGTTAAAATTTTTAAACTTTATTTAGCTCGGTTTCATTTTAAAATTGGTGGTTGAACTGGTTACCATGGAGTAATTTGTCTTTGTCATTGGAGGATAAAGAAATTTCCAGAATAAACGTGAATTGGTTTTTTAAACATTAACAATTTATTATTTTAGTTGAACACAAGAAATATAAAATCTTTTCCTCCAAACGTGAACCCTGATTTCAGTTCCTAAGGATCATCTAGTATTTTTAAATCTGTTACAATTTTAGCCTTTGGTCAGTAATATTGATGATGTACAAGACTGGACACCACATTAACAAATAAGTATGTTTTCCTTATTTACATTTATGTCCAGTAAACTCGTTTTCTTGCTAATTTTCATTGTTGTGAGAAAACTGGTGCAAAATATAAGTCCTAAGGCAATGAAAGATTACAAAGCAGAGTACTCTTATCACTCTATCTTGGCTTTGTGTTAAGCTCTTTTGGTGCATGCTTTTTTGACTCCATTTTCAACATACTTCATTTTATTTCAATCCATTGTAAAGATTTGTTCATTTCATTTTATTCCAGATCCAATTCTTACTTGACTCTTCTCATTCAACAATTTTGTGGTTACTTTTGTGAAATTAAATTAAGTTTATTATTTAAATTATGGTGAAAGAAACGGGTTACTATGATATTCTTGGTGTTAAGCCAACTGCAACGCCGGACGAGCTGAAGAAAGCCTACAGGAAATTGGCTTTAAAATATCATCCTGATAAAAATCCAAGCGAGGGTGAGAGGTTCAAAGCTATAAGCCAAGCATACGAAGTTCTAAGCGACCCGGAGAAAAAGCGTCTATATGATGAGTATGGAGAAAAGGGTATCAAAGAAGGTGGCCATAGTGGTTCATCACCTATGGACCTATTTGAAATGTTTTTCGGAATGGGCGGAAGACAACGTCATGCAGGTATGTTAATATTTGCTGCATTATTTAACTCACAGCTAACCATTGCTTTTTTGCATTGTTTTTCCTTGAAAATTCAGGTCCTAAAAAAGGAAAAGATGTTGTATACCAATTAGGAGTTAGTTTAGAGCAGCTATATAATGGTTCGACTAAAAAATTGGCTATTAGTAAAAAAGTGGCCTGTGATAAATGTGAGGGCAGGGGATCAAGTGACCCTAAAAAGGGTTATGTATCTTGTGAGAAGTGTCATGGATCTGGTCGTCAAGTTAGAGTCCAGCAAATGGGCCCTAATATTGTTCAACAAGTTCAAACCATCTGCGGAAGTTGCAATGGAGCAGGAGAGTCCTTAAATCCTAAGGATAGATGTAAAACTTGTGAAGGTGCTCGCATCATCAAACAAAAGAAAATCCTAGAAGTACATATCGATAAAGGTATGTCGGATGGTCAAAAAATAACCTTCTCTGGAGAAGGCGATTTTGAGCCAGGATTAGATCAATCAGGTGACTTAATTGTAGTTATCGACGAGCAGGAGCATCCTATGTTTAAAAGGTCACGAACATCAAATGCTGATCTCATAATGGCTATGGAGATCACTCTGACTGAAGCCCTTTGCGGAATGCAAAAGGGTATCAAAACTTTAGATGATCGTACGTTAGTTGTTTCATCACTGCCAGGAGAAGTCATCAAACACGGAGCAATTAAATGTATTATGAATGAAGGAATGCCCCATTGGAAGAATCCTTATGAAAAAGGACGACTTATTATACAATTCACTGTAAAATTCCCTGACAATCTAGAGCCTTCAACAGTTCCCCAATTGGAACAATTGCTACCTCCTAGACCTGTCGTGACCTTACCAACAGATGATACAGCTGAGGACGTTGTTTTAATGGATTTGGACCTTGAGAAAGAAAGCTACATGAGAAATGATCGAAGAGCTGCATATTATGATGAAGATGAAGGTGGCCCAGGTGCTGGATCTGGTGTACAATGTGCTGCCCATTAATCTTATGATTTAAACGTCTTTTTGGACCAAATAAGTAAACAAATCATAATGACCTATACGAATTTTAATCACTGGATTATTGATTCTCTGATTTTAGATTATCATGAACAAACTACAAATACACTCTTCTCAAACCAGCTACACTCATTTTTCTGTACCCATCTCAATTTTTTCCATTGCTAAAATAGTTACATCCGTGTCCTATCCGACTTTCCGAATCACGAGACTTTAAAGTCATGACTTACGATGGAAATAGGTTTAAGCCTTTTATTAAACTTTTTTCATCAATTTCTTTATTAAATAATTGATAGTAATATCAAGTCAAATTGATCACCTCGACTCCAAAAATTCATTATTTTGTTCCATTCCCTCCATCTTGAAAATATCATTATAAGTTGTTAATTATTCATTGTGATTGGGAACATGTCTTTCGTATGTTGTTGTAAATTTTTTTACTTAAAAAAATATAAGATGTCAATATTTTGTCAATCAGCGAAAAATCTTGTCAATAATTGTTATCTTAATATTGGACAAATAACCTAAGAAAAGCCTTCTCTACCAATCGCGATGTTTTACGCGTTGGATTGATATTATCATAGATTAGTGATTGCTGAATGGATTAGTTGATTAAAATAGCACTTGAAAATATCTAATATTTTATATTTCTAATAAGTTCTTAACGCGAAAATAGCGGCATTGTAAACATTAGTCAGACTAATTTAATCTGCATTTGAATTTATTTGTATTCGGTCTTTTTGTGAGATATTCAAGAATTTGAACTGAGTGGTAGAACTGGTTACCATGGAGTCAATTTCATACATTCATTTGTCATTGGCAGATCCAAGAAGTTTCCAGAGTTAATGTGAATTGGTTTGTTATTAATAAATTGTTGATAACAGTTTTATTTAATAGTTTACTTTCATTTATATCATCTCCATCAAGACATTTACATCAGCATTCACTCCTGACTCAATTAAATGTTTGCATGAGGTTAAATCCTGTTGTTATTGAGCAAGGTAAGCCTAAATGGTATCATATGATCGATAAAAGCTTTGATGTCCCGATAATTAGATCAAATTTCAACCAATTAATACAAAAACTTGAAAAGATAACCTGAGTTGAATAGTGAATTAATTGATCAGACTTTCCTAGAAATAAAATATTCATTTCAAATATTAAACGATTACTCAAATCCGGTTATTTTATCCGGATTTACACTCTAAAAATTTTTGAACTGAAATGAGTGCATTTTTCTGTTACTTGATGCTAACTCGTGTTTCATTCACTTTTGACTGATTTCTTTTAATTAATCAATTTTCTATTAATTATTTGTAGGAAATCATTAGCATGGCTAAAGCTGATGATGAATACAAACCCAAAGAATCTGGCGTTAGAAAAGAGAAAGAGAAAGAAGGTTCCGTTAAGCAACCGTTAAGGTAAATATTCACCATTTTGTTTAATAACATAAATAAATGATTAATAAAACTATCCATTTTCATACATTCTCAGAACTTTGCCTATGAGGCAAGCTAAGATAAATACTGTGATAGTATCTGAAGAGAAAGCAGTTGAATCAGGCCGGACTTTGAGGTCATGCAAAGCACCAACTACCAAATCAACCACCAAAGAGCCATCCACCAAAAAAGCTACCAAAGCAACTTCACCTGATAAAGGAATTAAGAAGATAGTCATTGTCGCGTCCTCATCTAATCCACCTGAAACTACTCAAACAGTAATTAGAAGACCTTCAATCCGTACAGCTCGTCGTAATATTAAAGTTAAAAATATTAGAGCTCGTTCAAGCAAATGTCAACTCTTCTTCTGTGACAAATGTGATAAAGTCTATGACCACTATAGTGAGTTAGTTTATCATCAACGTCGACATACTGGCGAAAAACCATTTGCATGCACCTGGCCTGGATGTACTGCTGCCTTTTCCGCATCCAATGCTCGAGTTCGTCATTTGCGAATCCACACTGGTGAAAAACCTTACGTTTGTCCTTATTCTGAATGTGGAAGAAGATTCACATATTGGAAGGACCTTAAGCTGCACAAATTTCGCCATTCTGGAGAAAAGCCTCATAAATGTGATTGGCCTGCTTGTTCTTCAAGGTTTTTCCGCCGAGATGATCTCAAACATCACAGATACACACATACAGGTAATTTTGAATTGGTTACTTTTGATTTATAGATCTGCTTAGTCTAACCACAACTTTTATATTTTTAGGGGAGAAGCCTTACAAATGTACAGTTCCTGGATGCGAGTCCGCTTTCACTCAAAAATCTCCATTAAATTTGCATATGAGAAAGATTCATAAAATACTTCCTGGAAACAAAGCTCCAGGTATAATAGTCGTTTGAATAATTATTTATTGTATTTATTCTAAAATGTATTTTCTTTTATTTCAATGCAGAGAAAGCTCAAGTTCAAGCCACAAATTTCAACAATGTCATTATTAATGGCGGTAACAATAATAATAATGAAGTAAATAATAATATCAACAACAACAACGTCCCTACTATATGCGAATATCCCATTTATCAGCCTGCTCCTACTATAATACGCCAGCCAGTTATAAATAGCATGAATCCAATCACCAGTTCAAATAATATTAGCAACAATTTGGAGTTTGCTAATGCTAATCATTCAAATGCAAATGTGCAATGCATAAATGTCACCGACAAATTGAGTTCCATACTGGTCACCTGTGATGTTTCACCAGCAACAGTTCATGGAGTCAATCATCAGTTCAACCATGATGTAAATGGTTGGTCTGACTATGCCTATGCCCCCGAAACAGTAGATTTGAACCAAAACATTCAAGCTACTTCTAATTCCATCATTGACTCTACAAAAACAACTTTAATGAAAGAGCCTAGTGTTCAAGTTAAGCCAGTTGAGAATAATATTAATCATATGCCTGATCTTAATGTCCTATTGGCTGATGCATGTCAAGCAAATCAATTAAACGAAAGTAATCTGCCTGTTAACAATAATAATTTGTCCTCAAACAAATTTGACCCTATCAATCAAGTAGAAACTATCAAGCTTATTGATACTCAAGTTAGTTGTGCATCGGTCAACACTGTTGATAATAGTGCATCAACCCAAACAAATTTTGGTCCAGAAAAAGAAACGAGTGTGGCTCTTGAATCTATAAGTACGTCTACTGAGAAAGCAAATGTGCCAGACAAAAGTATAAATGATGAAAGTGAAAAGACAAATGTTGAAGATGGACCTACTGATGCCAATGCATCGACATCCATTAGACCGACTCGAAAACGTGCTAATTATCGTATAAAAGCTTCTTCGACAACAACAAAGACTTGTGAAGTGGCAGTTATTCGACCTAAACCGGTTATTGAATCTAAGTCAAAAACTAAAGTGACCAAACAAGTTGGTTCTAAACGAACTATTGCCATTCAAACTTCTAAAAGACAATCAGTCGATAAAACCAAGAAAGATAAATTCAAGTGTAACTATTGTGAACGAGAGTTTAAAGCCAAGCATGATCGTGATTGTCACCATATGACACACACTGGTAAGTTTAAAGGCAAACTAACCCTTGATCCTTTCTTTGGTTATATTGGTTATCTGATAAAAAATAATCTTTACTTTAAAACAGGCGAAAAACCTCGAGCATGTGATTGGCCTGGTTGCGATTATAGATGCATTACTAAAAGTAAATTAACTCGACATCAACGCAAGCACACAGGCAAGAAATCTTCAATAATAGTTCATCGATAATATTTCAATAATTTTCAGATCGATTAAATATTGTTGTTATTATTCACACTCTAGGTGAACGTAATTATCCTTGTGATTGGCCTGGTTGTGGTAAAAAGTTTTCAACAAGTCGTCATATGAAAGAGCACAAACGAATACACACCGGAGAAAAACCGTTCAAATGTGACTGGCCTGGCTGTGACAAATGGTTCAGCCGGAAAGATCATATAAAAAACCACAGGTTCACTCATACTGGTTAGTATTTGGTTTAAATTGATATGACTAGCAAACTAATCATCATAAATCATCTTTCTCTTTTTAGGGGAAAAACCAAGAAAATGTCCCTTCCTCGGATGTGAGGCCGCTTTCATTCAACTTTCACCGCTCAAGAAGCACATGGAATTGCACAAGAGAGATGGTGGAGCTGTTCCTAATCGAACTCGTAAGCGAAAGACAAGCCCGAACCAGGCGGTAGTTAATGAAGAGCCAAAAAAGCCTGTCAATGAGTGTAATAGTGCTACAGTACAAATTAATGCAATGACTCTTGAGATGGTTACTAGTCGTCCGATCGCTCAAAATGATCAAACTGCTCAAGGTTATAACATGAACATGTTAACTGGACAAGAGAATCAAAATTTGTGTCTCCCTGCTTATGATGATGGCCATAACAATACTCAAGCTAATATTGAGTATGAAGTCATGTTCAGGCATCCAAGTTATTGTTGAGCACTCAATTATTCCTATAAATCATTCCGCTGACATGTATTCATCAGCAAATCTCATATCAGCCCTAAAATAATTTCAATAATAATTATTAATAATAATATAATATAACTATAATTTATTTGTTATGATGTTTTTTTCGCCTAAAATAAAATAAAGCAATCTGCTATTTAACAAAATTAAGTTGTTGGAGCTATAAAAATTGACTTCTAGGGCGTACAATCATCATGTTTAATCATCGTCTTTTCTAAATTCTGATGAAGGCCTACAATCTTTAAATAATTCAATGCAGTGGTTATTTTAACCCCATTGATGATATAAAATTTCTGATGAGCGGTTGAACAATTACCATTTCATATCACTGTTTATAACACTGTCCTTAAGCTAATTAATTGTCGCATGAACATTAAAACTTCGGAACACCTCAATTAATTTGCCTTGAATTAATTGCAATACGATAGAAGGACATTAATCAATCACAGTGACTGTAGTGATATTTTACGTTGAGTTGAATAAATTAATTGAAGAACAAACAGATTGTTTAGGAAAGTTGATTAATTCCTTTATATCTTTTCGATTGAATCAATGTAAGTGTTAATGATTAATTGTTTTCAGGGCTATTCAAAACAAATGAAAACAATTACTTTCATTTTAACAACAGCGACAAATGATTATTTGACAAAATGATGGAGATTGATTATCATTTTATGTTTCTTGATGATCTGTTCATTTCAATTGCATTCGTGTTCAATCTTGTTTACACCAAAATTTATCGATGTTCACCATTATTTCATACAATCAACAAGTCCGAGTAACTTCTAACTAGTGCAAAGATTTTTTCATACGTATAATTAAACACTTTTGAATCTTTCAACAGCAAAATGAGATCAAACTGTGTTTCCGTTTTCATTGTTTCCCTGATTGTTGTTGCCTGTTTAATTCAACAAGGCTCGACTGCTAATGATACCGTAGAGGAAAAGTCCAATGGTACTTTACCAGCCATCAAATCTCGATGTTTATTCGGTTTGATTCCTGGTTTTGGATCAGCAACCAATAGTACAACTCGACTAGTTTCCACTGGCGGACTATTTTCACCATTCTTCAATTTTTTCGGTAGACTTCGTGACCAGCTATTTGGTACTATTACCTCAGTGCCCAACAGCAATCCCACAACAACACTTTTCTCGCGAGGATGAAAGTGATACATTTTATTTTTAAAACTAATCCAAGTGAAGATTAGTTTTTTGAAAAATAAACGCTAAAATAAAAAACTTAAATTCCCTTTATTCTCAACTCTGATTCAGCCTTTTTCCTTTCACCTGTACACTGAGCAAATCTGTAAAATGCCTTTAAGTATTTTCTATTTTCCTGTATCTCATGTTCACACAACTCTGAAATGAAAAATTTGATGCGAAATAAAATTTAAAAGGCCAATGAATCTGCCATACTGAACATTTGAATAGTTTTCTTACATGAATCTTTGAGTCGCGAGAAATATCCAGAGCTGTGAGATGCATAGAGTTGTCTTTCTTTCTTGAAATTATGAACAATGTTTGAGCGGATAAATTCATTGATATTTATTTGAATTATTGATTTGTGTTTCAAGACATTTAATTTCACTGCCATCAACTTGATAGCTTGGAATGAGCTTGAAGTAAAAAAATGAGTTATTCAATAGCTTGATAGGTATAACTAAATGACGAGTTAAAGTGAGGCAGTAATTGAATGGTTTAGTCACAAAGTGTGATTTTTGACGTGATTTGAACAGTTAATAAAGTATGAGTCTGTTGATTACATTGTCTTTGAGGTATATAATAAATTTAGTGACCAGTTAAGCGAATATAATGATGTAAAAAATATAAAATGTAAAAAAGGTATTTGATATATTGATGAATGCAAACGCTTTGATAAGTTTTCTTCAAATGTCCAGTTTTCCATCCACTTTGAAAATGTTCATAAAATTATTGATAAAAAAACAATATTTGTGATGGTTCAAATATTATATTGAATTTGGTTTTCTGTTGTACAAACCAAATGATGAGTGATCTTTTATTAGATGAAGATATGCAGAGATCATAAGGATTTCTCGATTCCGAACCACACAAGGTAACACATGGAGATCAGTGTTGAAGATAATTTATATTTTTCTCTTTCCTCTGTTCTCTTATTTATGAAAAGAGTGATTTTTGATGTGTTAAATAATAAGAGAAGCAGATGAACGGCAGGTGATAGCTGAATTAGCTCGATAATTGCAATACTTTTGATTAGATAGGGAAAATAAAAGGGTTACTATTTATCCCAAAGACCAGCTTCTTTCATTTTGTTTACGAAAAATCGCTCCAGAACGTTTGCACATTTATAATATTCAGTATCCATTGCATTATATGTCCTACAATTGGTAAAAATACGATTCATATCAGCGACAAAAATACGTTTGTTTGAATAGTGTCGATTTTTAAGTCGATCTGACATTGTTTTCAAGTCCATTGGATTCTTAATATGATCGTAATAATCAGGTGCTTCTGAAACCTCAACAGGTTTGATGAAAGGCCATGCTGATGGATGGTTTTTAACTTGATTTAAAACAGTTTTAAGATGGTAATACAGTTTGTCATCGTCTCTGCTCTTTGATTTTCTGTCACCAGAGCCTTGAGAATTCGCATCACTGTTTGCTGATGATTGATTGCATCGTAGAGCAAGGTTTGGATTTTGTCGGAGTAATTCTTGCTGTTTCATATCAATTAGTTTTCTTATAATCTCTTTTTGCTTTCGCATAACAGATGAAAAAAGTGTATAAACAATGGACGAGTCCAACTGGCAACCCATCAATGTAGCACCTTCGTAATCCTTGATGTAGCCAAGATAAGATGCTTTCGGAAGTTTTATATCAATAGTAAAACCTTGCTTTTTGAAATAACCGATTGCATATTCATCTGCATATGTAAGAAAATGATGGATCCCTAATCGTACATGATAATCTTTCAAATGGTTCATTAGATGTGTTCCATAACCTTTAACTTGTTCATTAGATGTTACTGCACAGAAAACAATCTCGCTAAACCCTTGAGATGGAAATAATCGAAAACAGATACCACCGATAACTTTATTGTCCTTAATTAAAGCCAAAGTCCGATGTTTGGGATCAAAAACCAAGCGAGCGATGTACTCCTTAGGCATTCGAGGTAACTGATGACTGAAAACATTTTGTAGACCAACTAGCCATAAAAGACATTGTTTACTAATTGGTTTTGTCAATGAATTAGCTACGATATGAAATTGAATAATTCCTTTTGCTTCCTCTGTTCGAGCTGCTTCATCTCGTGCACTATTTTCCAAGGCATCTAACGACAGTTTCGACTCTTTCATCGATTTTAAAACTTGACGCAAAGTTTCCTCTGAAACATCCATTATACAAAGTTATCTTCAATAGTATTGAACAATGGCACAATGTTGAGATGATGAAAACGTAAGTGATGTGATAACTAAGAGATGGTATTCTTATTTCATCGATCGAAATTTGAAGATCAGAATTTTTATAAAACTTTATCTCATTAAAATCTTCGTAAAAGATAGCAATTAAATTTGATTCAGTAAATCAATTTACAAATAGATTGAAAGTGAGTAGCTTTCTGAAACCAAACAAAAACAAACCCAACAAGCTCCTAAAAATATGGTCGATAGGGGGCGTTTACATTATGTAGAACGAGAAACTTTGGAGGTAAGGTTTAATGGGTTTGAATGTTTCGACTTTTTAATAAAATATGATTGTTATAATGATTTTTGATATTTTGTTTTTATTTACAAGAAGCGGTTGATAATTATTTTCAGGTAAATTTAGTCAACTTTAAAAATTAAGGTACGGAAATCTAAAGTATGGAAATAAGGTATACAAAGGTTCTTGATGGCTGAACGTTAAATGTGCGTCCTACGTGAAAATACGCACGATACAGCTGGTGTAATTAAAATTTGTGTATTAAAAATTAACAGCTTCGAATACAAACAAATCAGTAATTTAAAACAGAGCAACAAAAATGTCATCAACGCGAGGCAAGAAAGGAGTCATCTGATTTTCATTACAAGAATCGACATCACTACCAGTCTTGGTTTCTTGAGCCAGTTGCCCTTTCAATCGGCTCTTCAGCATCATAAACACCTTGAGGCTAGAGTTAGAATAAATAAAAGGTATTGAATAAATTTGTCTCAAAATATTTTGAGTTATACATACTCCAATTTTAAAATGAATGGATGCTTCCTGTTGATTTACAGATTTTGTGAGCGTAGCGACTCGGACTCCAGATTCTGCATGCTTTTCCAGAAATAGTCTGAGTGCACAATAGTGACCCCATCGATTACCAAGAGCAGGTTTTTCCTTTCCAGATTCAGGCTCATATCTAACATGATTTGTAACAATAACCTAATAAATTTACTTTCATTATTCGGTTCTGCGTCACAAAATTCACTATAAATTACTTACACATAAGTTATAAGTTGCAGCGATCTCTCTTAACTTGTTGCTCATGTTCCAGATGAGGGCATTTCGTTCTTCTGCTTTTCCTTTGAAATCATAACGTAACAAGTACGCAATACTATCGATTATAACTAAGCGAACCTGTAAACCAAGATTATTGGAATAAAAATTAGATTGTATTAGATACAAATCAAGATAGATATAAATCAGATACTGACCTGTGGATTTTGTTTGATGAAAGGTTCCAATTTTTCCAATACCAAGACTTGAAGGTGAGACAGTTCTTCACATCTTTCAACGAAGATATGTTCAGAAATCCGTTCTTCGTCAAAATCTATCATGTTTCTAGTCTTTTCTCTTAGAAAGCCACTAATTTCAGCGATCCGGTTGAAACGAAATGAATTGTCGACATCAATGTAAAGAGAATCCGCACCCAAGCCACCAATGTCTTCGGGTAATTGGACTGTAACACATAGCTGAAAACTGGAATAAAAAATAAACAGAATTAGTAAAAGATAAAGATACAGAAAACAATATTTCACAATAAGAATCTCCGAGATTCAGAATAGACTAATATCATCGGTCACTCTAGCAATTGATATAACATTGTGTCACGAATATTTTTTACCATATTTGAGTTTTACCAACTCCAGAAGCACCCGCAATTTCACATAGACGGCCTAATGGAAAACCATCGCACAGCAAATTGTTTAATTTTGCACTTAGGGTTGGTATTGTAGATCCAGGAGCAAGCTCACGTTTCAGCAAAATAGAAGCAGGATCAAAATATAACGATTCTTTATTATTAATTACTTTAACCACTTCTTCACATTCATCCAGTGATAGATGGGTAACTGAAAAAACAATAAAAAATAAAAGTTAACTCACAAATAAAAAAGAAACTCACAGGTTCAATATTACATGAAAATATGTATCATACTCACTTTTACTCAGTTGCTCGATACTGAGATTAGATAAGTCACCAGACATAGCCAAGCGATGTTTTACTAATGTTTCTTTAATTTTAAAAGGCAATTTGAAGCAATGAATTGATTTAGACATAATTTCCACTGTTTGAATAGAAACACAATTAATAAGGGGAGAAAATAATATGAGAAGTATGTTTTCTATACCAAACAAACCGCCAAAACAACAAAACCAAAACAGCAACAAGAGTGAGAAAGTTATCAACTAAACAACAACAAATTGTCTTTTTGTTTATTTTATGAGATCGATCAGGAATTGTTATTATGAATGTTTCGAAATTAAAATTATGACGACTGTTTCATGACGAGGGATAAAATATCCTGGTAAGTATATTTACAGCGATTCTAATGTTTTCTTACTCTAACTGATTTTACACGCTTTTTATCTCCATTTGACAGACTGGTTTTTTAGTGATGTTATTTCGCAACTGTTTTGAACCGATAGTTTTACTTACCTGGAATATTGGAATACTTTTAATGCCAATATTAAATGAACTTTGATTCAGTAATGTTGAGATTCCTTATTTCAATTATTACCGCTCTACCACCACGCTCTGCAAAAGCTCATACAGTGATTTATTGTATGCATTTCACGGCTGCCAAACCATTTTAAACCATTGATCTTGCCTTAACATGGAGACAAATTGCTCAAATTGTGATGAACCTCATGAAAGCAGTTCCGAGTCAAATTCAGATTATAGCGACAGTGAATGTTATTCTGAAGTTGAATCAAATTTAGAATGGATTCAAGAGAATTGTGATTCACATGGCAACTTGTTTTACTTACAAGCCTTACGTCGAGACTCGATTATCAATCTAGAGAAACCATCAGAAGCTGAACCAACTGGCACTGGCTCTGACTTCTTATCTTCTTTTCGAAAATTGCCCAAATTTAAAACAGGATACTCCAAATTCAGACATTGGGTAACTGGTGAGAGAAGAGTCAAGACATCTTTGAAAGAAACAACCAAGCAAAATTGGTTGAAAAAAAGAGTAAAGAGTTTGACTGGCTCTTCCTCTCAAGGTATACAATCTTCATCATCTTCAACATCATCAACCAGACGAGAAGCTTACAGAGAAGGCCATAAGACAATAGATGGATCCGTTAATTTTCCAAATCCACCTAAAATAGGAATTGAAAATGAGCCAACATCAAAAGATTTCCTATTTAATTTAGTAAAAGAAGGCTTAAACGATAGAAGTGATGAGCAAGAAAAAATATTCACATTGATGTATTTGGCATCACCAAACGACAATTCTTCTAATGATAAGGATTATGCAGTTCTTATTTATCCCCCGATCCAATCGTTGAATGAAAATCAAGGAGTGGAGAATAAAGACGGCTTAATTGGAGACAGTGGTTTAAACAATTGGCAAAAAATTATCAAACTTAAAGGAATGTTTGTATCTCTTTCGCAAGTCATTAATGATATTACGGGACAATTACCGATCGTTTCTGAAGTCTCTGTGAAAGGTAAATTGGAATCTCTGACCACTAAACGCGATACAAGATCTTTTAAATCCGATGATAAAACCTTCATAGTCTCGTATGCTCAAGAATTCAATTCAGCTCTGATACTATGTTTTCCAGAGGAGAGTCACAAACAATTAGAAATAATTTCCATGATTTCTTCGCTTAGTCGATTCTTTCGATTTTTATACAACTCTTTGGATGCTGCCTTTAAAAATTGCGACAATCATACAAAAATTAATCATTATTTATCTATTTTCCATTACCTTCTATCTGAATCAAATTCAAAGGAGCCAAGTCTATGTTTTCATTTCGACATGGTCCAGCGTTTAGTTATTGAAGATGATCTGTTGCTTGGTTTGGATGAAGCCTTATCTGAATATGAATCAATGGATTGGTTCAGTGATTGTTGTTTTGAGGAAAATGGGGAAATCAATCATAGCTGTGATTTACTGATTATTGGCTCCGCTCTTTTTTACAAAGGATTTCTCATTTCATCACATTTACCCGGACACTACTTATCTGATGTTGTATCATTTATCAAATACAGAGGAATTATTTCTTTAACAAAACAACAACCAGTTAAATTAGTGATTTGGCAAGAAGTCTACCCATTGTCCGAGAAAAAAGATACTCTTGCAAATGATTTCAAGGAAAACGATGGAACTCGATTTTTCCTGCTCGTTGTTGCTGTTGAACAAACATTACTTTGTACTCTTCTAGAGATGCCATTTTTATGCAGCGATCTCAAGACTAAACCCAATGAACTTATTATTAACCAAACACTTAGGTTTGTTGCTTCTACTCTCAACCGATCCGGCCTGATACAAGAATTAAATGAACATTTAAGGGCCCAAAGCTACTTATTCACCAATACATGGTCCGGTGGATCTCCTGTTTGTGACCGTATAAAGCAATCTTTATCAGCTCGTGAACTAGCTGATTTAGGAGGAAATTCAAAAACTGAAGTCTCATCCTGTGAAGAAGATCACTGGTCAGAGAATAGTTCACTTCCATCCAACCCGTTGACCAAGTCTTTGTCCAGTCCATCAATATCTGTTTTACAAAGTCAAAGTCAACAACAAGCATCGACATCTATCAATAATACCCTATCTCCTCCAACTCATCTTTTTTCACCCGCACCAGCTGCACCATTATCATCAACCAGTGCAAGTTCTCTTGATAAAAACAGTTCTTTCCTGCCAAATGAAAATACAATAGATACCAATTCATGTTCTCGTTCAAGTATCCCAAGTTGCATTGATTATTATTCGCAAGACCTGCATTTTCCGGATTACCTTTTGTTTTATATTGATATGGATCTAAATTCAAGAACCTTTTACGGACCTGTCATAACTGAATCGCATAAACCTCTTTCCCCTAATCTGTCCAAGACTCTGCGTGACGTTGCCATATATTTGAGTGATAAATTAAACAAACATTATCCTGGCTTAACAGAAATTGGTAATCATTTTGAATTTAAAGACGCATTTCTCAATCCTGCTGTTAGATTCAAAAACAAAAAATATATGGATTCAGAATTGAATCTTTGGGTTGTTGGAAGGAAAGAAACTCCCGACAGAGAAATATTCCTCTTTTTTCGCGTTCCAACCAAGGGAAGAAGATCCAATTCATTTCTTCCAACTGAATCTTTATTCAATCGTCTTCTAGTACAAAATAAATGACAAAGTTATTCAATTTTCAGTTTGCTGAAAACTTCAAACCGTTCAAAGTGTAATTTTCCCTGTTAATCAATCATTGTGCCTACTGCAAATCAAAATTCTGTTTACGTTGATTAAAAGGCATAAAATCCTTAAAATTTTGGTTATTTTGATAAAATTGATAAAATGTATTTTCTACCATAATTTTGCGCCATGAAATAAATTCATTTGTTATGCTTTCCGATTTTTTTTGTGTTTTTACCTCCAAATCTAAATTAGGGCTGAGTTTTTATTTTATTTCAATATTAAGAAAGTAAAGAAAAAGCAAGGAACGTATAAAAACAGGGTTATCAATCAATGAATAAATGAGTTTCAGGGCAAACAGATATTAATGAGGTCTAAAATAGGATTGCTATTAATCAGTTGCATTGAATAATCAGACTTCGAAATTTGGAATTGTCCTCCATTGAAGATAGGGATTCATTGCTGAAAATCACTTTGAAATACAGGAAATGTATGAAATGGATAAATAATAAAATTCATTTTCTTTCGTCAAAACTTACAATCAAATTCGCATCACAAGCTTAGGTTTGTTTGATCGCATTGTACTTTTCATTAATCAATTGTAATTGTAACAATTATCTGTCATGTTTCACGATAATTTGATAATAAGATAATTTTTTTGTGAAAATTTTATAATGGCAAATATTATTAACCTGATTCTAGTTTGATTTGAACCAAAATAAGGTTCAAATTCAGCTACAAACTTTTCAATTGAATAAAAATCCCAAAAATAAGTCCTAAGGTCTGTACTATGACGATAACTGACTATTTGTAACAGAATTATGCATTTTAGCTGAAATTTTAAATAATTTTCTAGGATTTAAAACATTGAAGATTTGTGAATGTTTTATCATGCAGAGTTGAGGATAAATCATTTTGAAATTACAAATCAACTATAAAATGTAAACCCAATTTCAATAAGTTTAGGTTTGCTTGTTCTTATTATACTTTGAATACAATGCTTCATGATTTAGTTTTTATAATTTCAATGTTAATTCTTGGAAATAAACAATGGAATCTTATATGAAAATAATATCTGATCTTGATATCTTAATCGATCAATTGACACGTTAAAAAATTAGAGCATGTTTGGTGTGTAAGAACTCGAGGCTTGCACTGTGATTAAAATTCTCTGTTCATTTTCTTCATTGAATCTCGAATTGCTTCATTGTTTTCATATCTTGATTATCTGTGATATTTTGTGATACAAAATGCATATAAAAAGAGGTAAATCAATGGTCTATCCATTATTATTTCATTTCCAACTTTCAAACCAGTTTAATCTTCGACTCAGTCCAACTCAACTCCAGCCAACAAAATGCGATTCTTAGTAATCTTGTCTCTCGCTTTATGCATTGGTAAGTTACCGAAACCTATTTTAACCCAATCCGCAACTCTAATTGAAATTATTATTAAATTTATCAGGTTTCGCTTATGGAACCAGTCTCAACCGATCAAAGCGTGACATCCAACAAGACATGCAAAGTAAGTCCAATTTAAAAGATACCGGTAAAGATTCAGAAGACTAACACTTTTGGTTTATTACAGACCTCATCTCTGAGATCCAAAAGCATGGTATTGGTGCTATTGGTGGTAAAATTGCTGAATTTGCTAACAACTTCAAAGGTAAATAATAATAAGTTATTAATAAAAGATCTTTACTAAATTTTGAATAACCTTTAGATCAAATAAAGACCTGGCATTGCCCAAATCCCTTTGATGTAATAAATGCCATCGGTAGTAAAGATGGTGGTAAAGTGGCTCAAATCTTATTCACTAGTGCTGTTTGCAATGTATTGCACTTGCATTAACATTTTCCGATTCACCAGTTTGTGACTAAAGACTAATACAATGTAAAACAAATTTGTCAAAATATTAGTTTTAAATTCTTGTACGACCTGTTTGATAATATGTGTATCTTTAAAATCAATTTAAGTAATTTAATGAATAAAAAACTCCGCAAATGAAATTTCTGCGATTGTTGTCCGTGAATCAACTCATAAATGCAAACCTAATCGATCCATTCCTAAACGTAATGTGATCTCTACTAGTGAAGAAACTTGAACGTTAGGTTGCTGTTAGCATCAATCTAACTCTAACTATTAACTCTAACTAATAATTATTGATTGTTATAATTGATATGATTTTCAATTTAATATCAACTTATGGAAAATATTTCATGACGAACCAAAATCTATAGTGACGGACAAGAGAGGCCATTTGAAAAATGCCACTATTGTGAGATAATTAGCAAATTGAATAGAAATACTAACTTAAAATGAGTCTCGAAGTTTCAACTATTTCTGACTTAGGGTTAAGTTAACTCTGCTCTTCGGAAATTAATTGGTTGAGTTATGTATTAAACCCAATCTTCAACTCTGATTGTAGCGTGATATCCAACAAGATATGCAAAGTAAGTCCAATTTAGATCGATTTCTTTTACTAAACATGAAGCTGATCATTTCGTTTTATCACAGACATCATCACTGAAATCCAAAAGAATGGTATTGGTGCTATTGGTGGTAAAATCGCTGAATTTGCTCATATTTGTGCAGATTAGAGGTAACCAGACTGATATTTCATTATACTTTTGCTACAACAGCAACTCAATAAAGATATCAATATTAGACTATTGCAATGCGATGCAACTTAATGAGTGATAGAGTACTTGGCATCACAATTTGGGTCTGACGTGAAACTTTCATGATGAAAGCATAGATAGCTCAAAGAGGATAAAACATAAAATATAAACGATGACTGACGCACTATGTTTGAGATGGATTTTAACACTGTTGTTACTGACAGAAAAACAAGAAAATATGCAGCGAGAACGGAAATCACGTTTTGTTTAAACACCTTCTTCGGTAGTTGAGAATCGTATAGTCGAATGAAATATTCAAAAGTAATCCTTGAATTTAAATTGAAATAAAAACAAATTACTAATCTCACGTCTGTGCATATTCAATAGCTTTATATTTTTCAGTTACCCTTGCATTGGGTTTGAAGGACTTTTCATCAACTGTGCAATTGTAACTAAGGTATGACTGGTAAAGTTCTGGACATTTTTTCAGTATTTGTTTGCGACAGTTAGACTAGAATTACAAGCACCATTCAAACGTCAAAATGAAGGTGCACTTTACAAAAATATTTTTTGTAAAAATGAACCAAATTTGATCGAAAATTGTCAAGTTATGGCCTAGAAGCGAAAAGGTGTCAAATTCTGATTTTGTCTTTCGTCAAAAACCATATGTTTTCAACTTCATTCCATGGTTTTGAAGAATCGCAAAGTGCCAAGCTTTGGCCACAAAGTTGTTAAAAAGGATGTGATTCGCCTTATATAAATCAAAATAGATCGACTGAAAGGTTCAGGTCACCTTCCAAACTAAATGCCATGGACATTCGGTATGCAAACGAATTTTTAAGCTTTTAAAAAAACTTTTTGCAAAAAGGACTCCGATTTTGAATATTTCAGGAGATAAGCATGCAATAAAAATGTCACCTTGCTGCTGTTGGTGGCATTCAGATTTTTTTTTTCGGGATAATCTCCTGAAATATTCAAAATCGAAGTCTTTTTTTAAAAAAGTCAATTTTGATTTCATTAAAAATCGTTTCATACCGAATGTCCATGAAATTGAAGGGAGAAGGAATTTATAACCAATTTTTTGTTAACATACTAATGCAATGAAATCGTAAAATCCGCAATATGTGCAAACTTAAGTAAATTTAAATGGCACATAATTATTGGTTCTTACTCACTGTGTACACCTAGACAGTAGGTTGATGAACATAACAATCAATTATTCAGTGAATGTTAATAATGAAATAAATAAATTATCGAATGAACGTTGTTAATTCAACAAATTTTAATTTAGATTAAAGCAATTCAAACAGTTTTTAGAATGTTGTGTGACAACTGAATAAACTCATGGTTATATAAAAGGAATCCATTCTCTTAGTGCAAATCACCTGTTTCTTTCTTCTTCATCACTAATCTAATTGTAAATTTGATTCGGTCCAAGTTTTTTTCATATCATAACCAGCTTACAAATGTATCTTCATTCGTTTTCAACAATCTTCATTGTCTTGATTTTAATATCTTTAGGTTTAAATTATATTGACGCGCAAGAATTGAATGGAGCAAATTGCACTCTAATAAAAGCTGCCTGTAAAATGAAATCTGCACAAAATGCTGCTGAATTGGAAAAAGTTTGTACACCGCTCTTGCAACAATGTGCTGGTATTGCTAATAAAGGATAATACTGCATAAGCATTTCAAACGTGAAATTCTTGTTGCTTCCACGTAAATATATAAAAATAGCTAGATTTTGATCGCTATTATTCTGAACTGTAATAGTAATGTCAAAATAATGTAATATTATTGTCAGTGAAATAAAATAAAATTTATCATTTATATTATTTATTATTTATGTATATAATTTCCTGTAATTGATTGTATTATCATCTGGCAAAGTTTTCGCGTTGCAAGGATGTGAGCGAGAATATGATCAATCGCGATAGCCGGAAGCAACCCTGAGAAATCCGAAGCACATCCGTTGTTGTTCCTTTTAGCAAATGTGCATGTTAATGTGTATTTCCTAGGGTTGCTTCTAACTATCACGATTTTTCGCCTGCAAAAGTATGTTTAGACCTCGGATTGAGCTCTGGCATGATCAGAGGGTTTCCATAAGCAGGAGAATAAAATTCATGAATTAACTATCAACAAGCACTGCTGAAAATCACTTTGAAATAGGAAAAAGATAAATATTAGAATTCATTTTCTTTCGTCAAAACTTACAATCAAATTCTGCATCACAAGCTTAGGTTTGTGTGATTTTATTGTATTTTTAATTAACCGATTGTAATTGTAACAATTATCTGTCATATTTTACGATAATTTGATAATAAGATAATTTGTTTGTTGAAATTTTATAATGGAAAATATTATTAACCTGATTCTAGTCTGATTTGAACCAAAATAAGGTTCGAATTTAACTAGAATTTTCTAGGAAATTTGAATAAAAATCCCAAGAATAAGTTCCAAGGTCTGATAGCTGACTATTTATAAAAGAATTAGGCATTTTAGCTGAAGTTTTAAATGATTTTCTAGAATTTAAAACATTGAGGATTTATGAATGATTTATCATGCAGAGTTGAGGATAAATCTTTTTGAAATTACAAATAAATTTTAAAATGTAATTTGCTTTCTTTTAAGCTTTAATAAAATGTTCAGTTTCAATACAATTTTAGGTTCGCTTGTTCTTATTAATACATTTAATACAATGTTTCATAATTAATGTTTTATAATTTCATTGTCTGTTCACATGAAAACAATATCTAATCTATATCTTACAAGCTTATACACCTTGTTAGCCAATCAATTGAATGTTCAGAAATTAACATAGTTTGTTCGGTGTGTACAAACTCGAGGATTGCATATTATTAAAGTTTTCAGTTCATTTTGATTTACACAAATCCTTTTTTGTCCATTGATTCATTGTTTTTTGATATCTTGATTATCTTTACAAAATGCATATAAAAAGAGGTAAATCAATGGTCTATCCATTATTATTTCATTACCAACTTTCAAACCAGTTTAACTTTCGACTCAGTCCAACTCAACTCCAACCAACAAAATGCGATTCTTAGTAATCTTGTCTCTTGCTTTATGCATTGGTAAGTTACCATAACCTATTAAACCCAATCCTCAACTCTAATTAAAATATTTAATTTACCAGTTTTTGCCTATGGTGCCAGTGTTGACCGGTCAAAGCGTGATATCCAAGAAGATATGGAAAGTAAGTTCAATTCAACAGATACTGATAAAGAGCCATGAGACTAACACTTTAGGTTTATTACAGACATCATCGCTGAGATACAAAAAAATGGAATTGGTGCTATTGGTGGTAAAATCACTGAATTTGCTCATAACTTCAAAGGTAAGTGATAATGATTAGTTATTATAGGAGGTAATAATTAACTTTCTGGTTAATCTTTAGATCGCATAACTTCATGGCATTGTCCAGATGTCTTTGAGATACTCAATGCCATGAATAAAGATGAGCTTGGTAAAGTGGCTCGACTTTATTTCGTTAGTGCTGTTTGTGGTGTATTGCACTTGCATTAACCTTTTCTGTTGGTTATATTCACTCGTAAGATTTTTTTCCAGATTCCCCCAAATTTCCAACTTAAGACTAATATATCATTCGAAATATTATATTTAAATTCTTGTATCAACTGTTTGAAATGTTTATCCTTAAAATGAATTCAAGATAATTAAACGAATAAAAATGTTGCAAATTACAAGTTTATTAAATTTTGCGCTTGTTTCTGGTAACTCCACAAATAAATACTAATCACTTTCAATCAATTTATCCCAAAAGTAGTGTTATCTTCACTAAAATTTATAGTGACGGTCAAGAGAGACCATTTGGGCTATTGCTATTAAATATTTAGCTACCAATCTTAAGTCCAACATGAGACAAAGCTTGGAAAATAGACTCCACCGAAAATTCGAACTGACTTATCGATTTTCAGAAAATGAAACCCTTTAGCATTTCAAAGATGAGAAAGGTAGGTTCCAAGAATCATACAGTAACTTAACCCATAATTTTCTGGTGCCATCTAATAGATCAAGCTTTAAGAGTAGTCTTATAAAGTCCTCTTCCAGGACAACTTCGATTCTCCAGCACAGATTTTCTGTCCTCTTCCAGGACAGTCCGCCTCTGGGACAAGGGGAATACCGTCATACGTATTAGTTTTTTACCGTGAAAAAAATGAAAACTTTTTTAATGAAAAAATAAATTAAATGAAAAAATGAAAATGAATTTAATACAAATTAAAGGCCACGACTGGCATCTCTTAATTCGAGCTCTCGCACTCGAGACTCGACCCACCGAGCATATCGCTCCTGAAATACTTCAGGAGGGAAACCAAAGGCGGCTTCACACCGCAGATCAATATAAGTAATGAACTGGTCCTTTTCGACCAGTTCATTCTTCACCTCCTCGACCTCAGCTCTCAGCTCCTGGTTCTTGGCTTGCAGGTGTCTTTCAGTCAATCATCTCCCCTTCATGTTCAACTCCGAAGAGTTTTGACTCATCTCGAGTCCGTCATGGTCGCCGTCCCTCCTTCATCATCCGAACCATCGAGCTCGTGCTCGAAAAATTCGATATGAGGACCAGGAGGCGCGGATCGGGCGTTTGGTGGGGCGAAACCAGCACCTGCAAGCCAAGAAGGGGAGATGATTGACTGAAAGACACCTGCAAGCCAAGAACCAGGAGCTGAGAGCTGAGGTCGAGGAGGTGAAGAATGAACTGGCCGAAAAGGACCAGTTCATTACTTATATTGATCTGCGGTGTGAAGCCGCCTTTGGTTTCCCGTCTGAAGTATTTCAGGAGCGATATGCTCGGTGGGTCGAGTCTCAAGTGCGAGAGCTCGAATTAAGAGATGCCAGTCGTGGCCTTTAATTTGTATAAAATTCATTTTCATTTTTTCATTTAATTTATTTTTTCATTAAAAAAGTTTTCATTTTTCATTAAAAAAAGTTTTCATTTTTTTTCACGGTAAAAAACTAATACCGTATGACGATATTCCCCTTGTCCCAGAGGCGGACTGTCCTGGAGAATCGAAGTTGTCCTGGAAGAGGACTTTATAAGACTACTTTTAAGATTCTTTGCAATGTTATCTATTGATTTTTCGAAGTTCGGTAAAATGCTTGTAAATTATTTAACATTATCATAACTTGAATATCGCAGCAAAATCGTTTTCAAATGCTTTTACAGCCAAAATCAAAGCTACTTTCGCAACAATCAACAAAAATACATTAAAAGAGTTAAAAATTACTCGATAGATGACGCCAGTTATATTAAATTTTGGGTTAGCCAAGAACCAGATAATCATGAGTTGATTTGGTTTGTAGTCGACGACTTTTTTACCACTTGATTGTCTGCTAAATGGTTTATGACCAGTGTTTATTTTAAAAAATATGCTGCAAGTGACGGATAATTTTATCAATTTTCAACCTTTCTGTTCAATCGTTGTGTAAAAGCTTAAATATTTGAATAAGTGAAACTGGAATATTAATTTTGCAACCAATTTTAATTTTTATTCATAGCTTTTATCATGCTTACAAGGCATGTATCAACGGGATTGCTTGATGTCTACAGAAATGTTTCATTGTTTTGTGATTTAACTGACAATATATTGTCACACAGATGTTTCATTATTTCATAACTTAGTAACAAAGATAATGGTGTAACCCATAAAAAACCATTTTACATGGCCAAGCACAGAGCTTTTATTGTAATCAAAATAATTTTCAAGTTAATTTTGATTTAATCAGCTGTTAGATGTCAAATTTGATTACGCTCTTGAAAACTTGGCGAAAGTCAGAGAAGAAAAAATTGTATATAAAAAGAGTCAGATAACGATTAAAATGTTATCACTTTATCTTACAGCTTTCAAACCAGTTCAACATATTGAAACAATTCAACTTCAGCGACAAGATGAAATTCTTAGTAGTTTTATCTCTTGTTTTATACCTCGGTAAGTTAATACAACCTATTGAACCCAAACTGCTCACTAACTCTAATTGAAACAAATTATTGTTTCAGGTTTCGCTTATGGAGCCACCATTGACCGATCAAGGCGAGCCATTCATTGTCCATCATTACAAGATATCATAGATGCTCTGGATAGTAATAATGCTCCTAAAGCGGTCGCAGATGTCGTTTTTCTTGCCACTTGTCTCGTTTTGCGATTGGAATAAACTTGCCCATTGAATTTTTGATTCAACTTTGGCTTTATCAGAAGCAACTATTCCTTTCCAACTTTATCAGGCAAACCATTATATAGCAAATAATATGTGATTATTCACATATTTCTTGACCTAAAATAATAAATAATTCATCAAAATCACAAATTAAATTCTTTTGAAAGCAAACTTCATCAGACTTTATCAAATTTAAAAACGAAAGAAAACCGAACTCATAACTTAAATCATACGCAAAAGGCTTTTGCAGATTGTACAGAATAGTTTTCATATTGATCATTGACTATTAATCATAAACTTAAATGGCACTGAGTTCAATAAAATTGACTCAATTTTTAGAGCAGAAGATCTGAACACAGTCGCACGAAATCTGATCCGGGATTTACCGGTATTTGAAAACAGTAAATATCGAGAAGAATCTGGTAAACCGGTGCAAGTATGTTTCACATTGAGGTTCATTCACTAACCTATGCAGCGAAATTCTTGGACAGATAAGATAAAGATTTTTTCAGGAACTAAAAGAGATAAACGGCTGAAATTTTCAGCAATTATATATCTTATCATTATTAATACCCAGTAGAAATTTGAAAATTTTACAAGAAATAGTTCAGTGTTTATTCGACTGTTTTGAAAATCGCGCGTCTCTGTATTTTTTCGAAAATCCTCAACTCTAAATTAATAGCTTATTTCAATGTCCTCTAATCCGCTTACGATTCCTAAAATCTGGTGTATTTAAGCATTTTCTATTAATATGTAACCTCAAGTTTATGTTGATGACTTTGCGGCTCGAAATTACAACGCACTAATTAATAGGATTAAAAATAAGACAAAAATTATGCTAAAAAAGTTAGACCCCCCCCATATTTTCGAGCCACATGAAAAGTCCTAAATGAGCATGAATGCAATCTTGGATTATAGCTTGAGTTATATCTTCTTGAAGCTCTGATCTGTAGCTACGCATTGCTACTAAATTTGTGTATCTACCTTTAGCCGTTGGTTAAATAAATGATCTGGAACAAGTTGTCCAAGAATTTCGCTGCATAGGTTAGATTAGATTCAATGATATGCAAAGCGGCAATTTTTCTCCTCTTACAATAGCATTCTAAAAGAAAGATAATTTGTAAAAATTTTATCATGGCAAGTTGAATATCGTTGAAAACATTATTTAACCTGATTTCAAGTTTGATTTTAAAGAAAATGATTTTAAAGAAAACAAGTTTTGAATTTAACCAGAAACTTTTCAATTGAATAAAAATCCCAACAATATTAAGTTAGATATTGTTAATAAATCCTAAGGTCTGATAATTGACTATTTATGACAAAATTAGGCATTTTAGCTGAAATTTTAAGTTTTTAAGATTTGAATAACTGAGAGTTTATTAATGATTTATCATGTTGAGGAAAAATCATTTTAAAATCACAAATGTACCAATCAATTATAAAATGCAAGCCCAAGTTAGGTTTGCTTGTTCTTGATATACAGGTTGAAAACCCCTGTATTTAATACCATGTACAATGATTTAGTTTTTATTATTTAATTTATAATTTCAATGTCAATTCATTGAAATAAACAATGAAATCTTCTATGAAACAATATCTAATCTTGATATTTTAGACAAACAATTGGCATTTTCATAAGGCATTATGTTTGGTGATTACAGACTCGAGGATTGTACCGTGATTGTCATGCCAAATATATCCTGCAACTTTGATCCTTCGAGACCGAGAGATTCACGATTGGTGGACGATTTAGTGTCTCTGTAATTATTACATTTGTATACTCTAACATACTATTAATAATGTAATCTTCGTAGTCTCAGCTAGTGATTCAATGATCTAGAATTGAACATAATTTTAAGGTCATTAAGCTAACCTTGATTCAGGTTCACACATTGAAACAGAATTGATATGAAATTCGTTTGAATATCATATCATAAAATGATAACACTTGAATTCATTATTTTATTATCACTGAATACGGAAAAAAGTAAATCCCTTTTTTCAATTGATTCATTGTTTTTTTGGTATCTTTAAATCTGTGACATTTTGTGATACAAAATGTATATAAAAAACGGTAAATCAATGGTTTATACGTTATTGTTTCCTCTTTTGACTTTCGAACCAGTTCAACTCTCGACTCAGTTCCACCCCAACCAACAAAATGCGATTCTTAGTAATCTTGTCTCTCGCTTTATGCATTGGTAAGTTAATATAACCTATTAAACCCAATCCTAAACTCTGATTGTAACAAAATTATTATTAAATTTACCAGGTTTTGCCTATGGTGCCAGTGTTAACCGATCAAAGCGTGACATCCAGCAAGACATGCAAAGTAAGTCAAATTTAAAAGATGTTTGTAATTAAACATGAAGCTGATCATTTTGTTTTATCACAGACATCATCGCTGAAATCCAAAAGAACGGTATTGGTGCTGTTGGTGGTAAAATCGCTGAGTTTGCTAAAACCTTCCAAGGTAAGTTTGAATAAATAGTGACATTAAAAGATGATTACTAATTTTTCGATGCATCTTTAGATCAAATAAAGACATGGCATTGTCCAAATATCGGTGACTATCTTCAGGCCATACAAAGCGGTGATGCCGGTAAAGTCGCTCAAACCTTGTTTGGTAGTGCTGTCTGTACTGCATTACACTTACAATAAGCTTCTCTGTTCAAAGTTAAGATTAATTTATCCCGTTTCACCCAAATTTTTAACCTTAAACTAATAATACATTAAAAAATATTTTAATATAAAAAAAATCTTTGATTTCTGTTTTTATTCTGTCTGTTAAATTGTCTTTTAAGTGAAAATTTCTGGTTGATCTTGAATTAAGCAAAATTCCGATTTCCGATTATTTTGTACTATCAATATTTGAATGTTTAACCCTAAAGTGCTGTAAATTAACCTTTAAAATGGTTAAAAATCACAAATGTATAGAAATTTTTCACGGTTGTTTTTGTTAGATCCACTAGTAAATGCTACCCGGTGTCAATCGATCCAAAATGTAGTGTGATCTCTATTAACTAACTTGAACTTGTGGATGTTGGCATTAATTTTAGTGCTTATAAATTTATTGTCATAATTGTATGATTTGGAAAGTGATATCAACTCATTGGATAATCTTTGATATCATCAATAGATTAATCGCAGTACGATACTGGGGCAATACAGGTGTAAGGCTCTGAGCTCTCAAAAATTGTTTACTTCAACAAATCTTAAACAAAATTGCCATTTGCAAGAATGATAACTACAGCGACAGTGTCTTAAGAGTCACACTAATAGGCCTTTAACTCGGCCGTTAGTTTTCAAATCTAAATTTTCTGAATAATTCTTCGTGTGTTTTGCATTTGTAAGTTATTTGACTTCAATAATTTAACTCTTTGGTATTTTTTGCGATTCATTTGCAAACTATTGCATATGAAGATTTGCAATTTTATCCATCACTTAGACTGAATTTCCTTTGAATTGCAATCATCACTTTGATTTGAAGGTGTTTCGATTAATCTCCGGTTTTTTCTTTTGTCGATTCGTTTGATTTTTCCATCCATAACTTCCAAATTTCATTTTGTTAATCTGTTACTATCCTTCACTTGATCGATCTGATTGAAAGGTGTTTAAACAAGGTCAGCATTTTAACAATGGCGAGGAACAAAAATATTTCAATTTTTGTTGTCAAATGATGAAAATGACTGAGCCTTGTCAATCACCAAATCATGCCAATGGGTTCAAAACGGCTTTAATTTGAGTATAAAATAAACATCGATTCCATTGAGAGACAACAACCAAACTCGTAAAGACTGAACAACTCGTTTGAAGTTTCAATCAACCAGTAAATCAACCAAAATGCGATTCGTAATTGTTTTAGCTTTAGCTTTGTGCCTTGGTAAGTTTTTTCCAGCTCCACTTTTTTTCAAAATCATAATCGATTTCCTTGCCTTTTTCCAGGGTTCGCTTATGGAGCCGATTTGAGCCGATCAAAGCGTGATATGCAACAAGAAATGCAAAGTAAGTCTAACTGGTCACCACCATGAATCAAGATTTACTTAGTCGATGATTTGATTTACAGATATTATCCAAGAAATCCAAAAGAATGGTATTGGTGCTGTTGGTAAACAAATCAATGAGTTCGTCAAGAACTTCCAAGGTAAGTTATCTATGATAAATAGTAACCCAAACGTTTGACTAACGACCAAATCAATCCTAATCAATACAGACCAAATCCAGTCATGGCATTGTCCAGACATAAACGATTATTTCAACACTTTACAAAGCGGAGATCCCGGCAAAATCGCCCAAATGTTGTTCACTGGAGCTGTTTGTGTTGCCTTGGGTTTGTACGGACGACAGTAAGAGCTGAACAAGAATGATTGTATTATTGTAGCTATCCCTTGATCCAATCCAACATGATTCCTGTAAAACTTCATTTCAATAAATAATTATATATCTGATATTCTTGTAACTTCAAATAATTTAGACTAAACAGTTTAATCGCAGATTGCTTGAACAGCTATTCAAATTAAAAAATAAAAAGCTAGCCATTAAGTTACTCTAGTTGCTCGGCTAAAATTGAGCGGTTCTTATGGCTTTAGATTATTTTTTAATAATATCATGTTCATGGTTTGGTTTTAACATGAAAAATTAATACTTACTTCGATTACAACTTGTAATAATTGTAATTCCTTATTTTTGTGAGCTCGCTCTATTATTGACCGAACTATAATAGGAATTGAATGCATCAACCCCTTTCCATATTTTTTGGACATGAACTCCAATTATAATTGATACTGGAAGCGGTTTCTTAACGTATTTGATAAGCATAGTTTCTTTGATGATAGTTTTCTTTGAAAAATTCGGGATTTCACATTGTTTAGATTATCGGTGTTACATTAAATATAATTTATCTCAATAGTAGGTAAAGATTAAACAGATGAATAGTAATTGTTATAGAGATAGCGTTATGAGAACCAGAATATTGTTCATCAAGGGAAAAACCGACAAGAACACGTTGAGAATAGGATGTACATTATAATGTAATCAGATGATGAGATTGAACAGAAAAGGTCATCAAATAATTGTAACTGTTTATTCATTTGAATTTACTAATTACAGTATTGCCTCGAGTTTTTTGCCTTTTTGGAGTGCTGACATCTATGTGAACTACAGGGGGAAACAATTAAATTTGCAGCTTAAACAATTAGTCCACTCGAATTACTCCCCCTGAAGGGGAAAGGGTTGAAAAGCTAAAGGGGAATCACTAGACTGTATTAATTGTTTAAACTGTAAATTTAATTGTTTCCCCCTGTAGTTCACATAGATGTCAGCACTCCAAAAAGGCAAAAAACTCGAGGCAATACTGTAGTTAGTCTTTTAGGAAGACCTTACGAACGTAACAACAAGTTAAAAGCTAACCATAAATTAGAGACACCTATTGATGGAAAATTAAACCTGTGGTCAAGCGAAAATCAATTAACGTTTTATGTTCTAGCGATGACCGCGATTTGGGGGCAATTACAGCGATAAATTATTGATACGTGTTAACAGATTGAAACAATTAAATAGGAAATTTCTGGTTGATTCTATCCGGGTTGTATCTTCAATGCTGTTGTGTTCATCTGCTTGTCAATGGGAGCATTTTGATTCTTGGGAAAAATCTGATTCTGTTTAACAATAGACTTTTTTTGTTCAAATAAACGGGTAAAATATGAATATAGATGATATGTTAATATCAAAAAGTATCTGAAAAATTCAATTCTGTCGATAAAAGCCCAAACAAAAAGACAACAGCTAACCTAGTTACTAGCAAGTAATAAAATCCATAGAAGAAAAAGGAAACAGTTAAAAAAATGAACAAAGACTTGAAAACGAAGGCGATAAAAATGTTAGAGGTAAGACTCTAAATTCTCGAAAAGCGACTTCAATTAAAATTAAAGCGACTAAGCGTTACTCTTTTATCATTTAAAAAATTAAATTTTCATTAATCTAAACTCTTTCAGTTTGTAATTTATTAAAAGTCCCTTATTGAAGACATCAAAAGATTCTTTAGAAGAAGCGCGAGATTTTGGTATAATACGCTTTAGTGTTTGCTGTTATTCATCTTCCATTTTCACATTTATTGTTTCTTTTTAGAGTCCTTCATTTGTTTATTAGTATCTTCATCGTTTTCTGAATCTAGTGAAATTAAAATGAGTGAACAATCAGGAGAAAAACGATTACTGCCTGTTAGTTTAAACATTATAAAGCAATTATGGACCCCCTCTCACGGCGTTGTCGTTCATAAGCAAAAATTTGATATTCTTTCTATCATTGGACGAGTTACCAATATCAACGACCAAAGTACTAAATGTGTTTATTTTGTTGATGATGGAACTGATGGCATTGATGTCCTCCAATGGAAGGGTGGCGATGACAACAAAGCTAAAACCATGGAGAGTCCAATTACAGAGGGTACCTACGTCCGTGTCCATGGACAAGTCAGAAATCAAAATAATACGCTTAACTTTGTTGCCTTTAAAATAGCACCAATTAAAGATTTCAATGAAATTACCGCTCATACTTTGGAGGTTGTTCACAACAACTTATTACTCCGTAAATTGAAGTTTATTCAGCTAGCTACTCGCAATGATCCAACAGCTAATGGATTAATGTCTGGTATGGGTAGCAACGGTGACAGCAATGGAGTTACACCTATGGAAATTGGAGACATTGGTTCTCGTTTACCTCCTGGAATGACCAAAGCTCAAACAATGGTTCTTGAGGCTTTAAATAAATGCCGTAAAGAGGAAGGAATGAGCAAAGACCAATTGGTTCAGTGTTTACCCTCGTTGGATGCCAATACTGTCCAAGGAGCTCTCGATTTTCTGTCTAATGAAGGTCACATCTTCTCCACCATAAATGAATTTCATTTCAAGAGCGCATATGAAGAGGAAGGTTAAAAATATTACACGATTCAGAAACATTATTCATCGAGACAAAGTAATTTCCAGTTTATTCAATTTTCAGCCGTTATTAATGCATCACCCGAGCAAAAGTTATTTAGAAAAATTCATATTTCCAATTCTCTACTATTCATGTAAATTTGAAATCACCCTATATCTAATCATTTAATGTTGAATTTGAAACCTGTAAGAAAACGATATTTCTATTCATCAAATGAATTAAAAACATTTCTTTTTTAAATAAGTTGTTTATTTTATTTTATTGAAAAACTGATCGCTTAGGAAAGCAGGTTGAGAAGATACAAATGCTTAAATTGCTGAAAAAGTATTAGATAAAGCATTTAGCAAACTTAACTAAAGCTATCTGATGAAATACTTCTGAGATAGAGTTTAATGTTCCGATTTCTTTTCCAGATCAAGCAATTCAGGAATGTCGCTTTTTAACTTTAGCTTAAAAATGATGCGACAAATTTCATCGCGATGTTGAGGATCTGTTATTCCCATTCTACGAAGAGTTACTTCAGAGATTCGCACCAAAGATCGGCCGGTTATTTCATGTTCCAAAAAAAGATGACCATATAAACCATAATATTCCTCACAATGACGTTTTAACCATTTCATAACATCACCATTGTTCCAATTAACTACATGTTTGGGACCTTTCTTTTCACTTTGTGAGGCTGTTGATCCTTCACGGTTAATCATTTCAGCCAAGCAAGGTTAATGAACAAATGAAAAGGAGGGAAAGGACACGAAAAAAAGAAACTGTAGGTAAATAAAATCAACAATGATAGCAGGTAAAAGCTTTAGATTTGATAAAAATGGTCAAATATTTGAGAAATGTCATTATTTTAATATTTTTTTGTTTTCCTTTTTTGTTGAGTTCTTGTTGTTGTTCAGATACAGTTGCCATAGAAAATCACAAGATGTCATTGTTAGCCTTTTCACGATTTCTAGACTTTCTCGTTACAAGTTGCAATTGTCTTCGTTAATTTTGTTTCCCGTTTCTCACTGTCAATCATTCTATTGAATTATTAATGATAAATAACATCCCGTTAGTCTACTTGTGCTTTATTTCCATGATTATAACTTCATCTAGAAGCTACATCGCCATAATTTTTGACTAACCTCGAGAGAGTGAACAGATATGCTCTATGTGGTTACTTGAAAGAACCTTGTTATTGTTTGTATTCTCGTTTGGTTTTACCTTGTATCGACTTCGCTTAACACCGATGTAATTACACGTATTTTAAATAATCACTTTAAAGATTAAGAAATTAATCTTTCATGATTGACAATGATCATGTTGTTATCAATCACCTGATAATTATTTGACAGTTTGCTTTTGTCTCTGTGATAACCAATTGTATTCTACATTTGGTAAGGTGGCTTCAACATGTTTCTACACACTTTAAACAATAATCATCATCAATCTATCATCCATCAATGGAGACCCTGATCTTTTATCAATCCTCTGAATCATTGAAATTCAGTAACCCTTAATTCAGTTGGTTCTTAAGTAAACCCTGCCCTCTGTGAGTAAACAAAAACATTGGTGATGTTATTGGTATTTTCAAACGTTTACCTATGATAAATCAGTGAATTATGAAAATTCATTTTTTGTATAAAATCATTATTAACTGAGTTTAATGATTTGTCTTTTATCTATTGGAATACTATTTTTAGAACGCTTCCTTTTATTTGGTGAATCTAGTTTTACTCTTGTGAGTAAATCCTGTGTAAATCAGTGACATTTGGTTTTTCCACTTTCAACTCTCATGGGAAAGAGAACCAAATAATTCAAATTGAATCCTAGATATCAATTGATTTTATAATAATGGGATCCATCCAAGCTATCTTAGACTTTTCTGTTGAGCTTAATAAATTCGTGAACATTAATCTATTTCAACGAGGGTGAGTTATGTCCACAATTTAATCATTTCCATATTGATTATGCGTTTCCCTATCTATTAATATCTATTAATATTTATGCATCTCTTCTTTCTTTCCTTTCATGATTTCAAATTCTGGATCTTCCATTTCATTGCTGATTGGGTTTTAAATGCACTTCAGATTGTATCAAATTCGTATTACTCCAAAGGTTGGCTCAAAAATACCTCACAAGATAGAAATTAACTTCAGTGATATTCGTTCAAATCAAACCTCTACTTCAATTATCAAAACTCAACCGGAGAATGCTGTCTTTCCACCCTGTATTATCAATGGTTCCGCTGTCAGTAAAACATTCCCAATCATGTTCAAGAATGAAGAAATGATCCTCGAAGACACAATAAATTTCAAGATTCACTTGCTGGTAGACGTTTCAACAGCCATTGAAGTTATCAACAAGACCACTTTTTTATTAGACGTTGAATTATGGTTTTCCGAACAAGATTATACTCCAAGTCATTCAGCCAGTTCCGTTGAATGTGTTGCTTCGCGCCAGCTAATCTTGCATTTTGACATTTTTCGTGGACTTCACTATCATTTACCGGTCATTTTTGACTATTTCCACCTCTCAGCCATAACTATTACCATTCATGGATCTTTAATTACTCTATGTTTACCTTACATGATGAAATCGGGAAAATATAAAAATAGTAGCAAGGAATCTGGCGAATATGAAACTCAAAGTTATGACATTTTACTGTTTGGATGCCCACTCGATGCATTCCCTGATCTCGATAAAGTTGGCCCTGAAATGAAGGCTCTGAGAATGCGACGAGCACAATTGATACACTGGCAAATGTGTTCAATTATGTTAACTGCCATAATCAAATTGCGAAAGAAATTGCGTGAATATATTAACATGTTACCTCCTTGGGTTCAGGCTAGATATGTTGGACTTGATTTATCTCTATCTACCAAAAATCTTAGTGGACTGGCAAAGAAATGTTACCAAAGCTCGATTGAAAATTTTCCAAATACCTCATCAACTCCATTAATTTCTTATCAGAATTCATCTTCTCCTCGTAATGGAACCATTCCTCCCAATGAATGTACAAAATCATCTTCTTCATCATCTTCCTCGTCTTCTTCTTCATCATCATTCTCATCATCATTTTCAATTTCATCCTCATCATCATCTTCAAATAATTTATCCCCAAACCGTCCAGATGATTATGTCACTCTAGTTGAAAATGATATGGCTCATATTTGTAGTTTTGCCATTTTTTTGTGGCAATCTTTTCTTAAAGTTGTAACGAATAATGATAAAATTATTCAATATTTGGCAAAAGTTCATCATCTTCATCGTATTAAGCGATTCTCTGAAGCCTTTTTCACTATTGAAAAACCTAGGAAATCCATATACTCTATCTGTGACCAGAATACTGCCCTTTTTAATGAGATCAGTGAACAGCTTAGAAAATCAAGTTATCTTTCTTTGTTGCCTCAATGCAACGTTGAATGTCTTGCTATGGATGGTGATGCAAATACGTTGCCAATTATTTATGAGGAGCAATTTGATTCGGAACCATTATCACATTCCCAATCTAATTCATCTCTTTCCAATCTCTCAATTGACGATAAAAGTGAATCTGAACAGTTATTGCTTGAAGCAACTGCAAGCTGCTCATCCAATGGACTTGGCGGAGGACGAAAAAATCTGCGTGAAAAATTTCTCAATAACTTAAATAGACTTAATTTTGGATATAAACAAGGAAAAGAAGAATACTCTCCCATTTCTAGTCGAGGCGGTGGAAATCTCAATTATAATGGCAAAAGATCGGACAAAGTCTGCTATTCACCTTATTTATCAAATAGTACCAGTGCTAGTGAAATTCATTCCAATGTTACTTTACTTGGTTTCAGAAAATTTGACCATGAAATAATCGATCCTCCAGAACCATGTCATTCTTCATCTTCTTCATCATCTGATCACAATTCCATTTCATCTGCTTTCAAAAGCATTAAAGCTAGTGAATCTCTTCCTGATCTTAATTCGAGAATAAAAGCGTCAAAGAAAAGCTCCAAGCAATTCCAGTTAGCTTTTTCGTCCTTAAAAATTAGTGAAAGTTCAAATATGCTTAGCGATCCAGTTAAACCACCAGAACATTTTCGTGATAAATCTTCTAAAAAGAAATCTGATGCTCACCGGTCAGAGAATGAATTTCATGGAACAGTTTATTTTCCAAAGCCACCTCTTGAATTTACTGATCAACCAGTCATCAGTGACGAGGAAGATAGTTTAGATTGTGATGTACAAACAGAGAACGCCAAAGATGACGATGAAGAGTTATTAACGCCAAGAGCGGAAAATCCTCCATTCTTTATTACTGATGAACCTCAATCTACCCAAAAACCTCTAACCAACCAAATGTCTAATCATAATAATAATAATAACTCATCAAATGACGTTCGTTTGCGTCAAAAAACTAAATCCAAAGTTGAACCTAGACAAGCAACTGCCGTTGATAATTGTGGAATACTCGATATTTTCAAGAATAACGAATGTTTCATTTGCGGAGACTCCAAATGCTCCTGTTCTAACGGTGACGAGGAAGAGGCCATGCCAAGCCTTAAGCGTCTTTCAGCCATAACCTCGGATCTCATTACATTTGTAAAGAGTAAAGAAGATTTCAGGAACTTGGCTGATCTTAAATCTCTTGGTTGGAATATTTATTCTGATTTTACTAGTCTTGCTTCCCGCATTCCATATTTCCAGTGTGATCCTGATTTAAGAATTTTTGACACCGATGGTCTTCATCTAGTTGTTTGTGTTCACGGATTGGGAGGCAACAGCGCTGACCTGCGTCTGGTTAAAACATATCTTGAAATCGGTTTGCCAACCACAAACTTTGAATTTTTAATGTCTCAAAAAAATCAAGGAGAAACCTTTGAAAGCTTTGATGTAATGACATCTCGTTTAGTGCAAGAAATTAATTATCACATTGAAGTCTATGCCTTGAATCCAACCAAAATCAGGTAAAACCAATTAATTTAGATCTAAGAATCTCTTTAGATGCCAAATTCACATTTAATGATTAACAATCCTGAATCATATAAATTAACCGTTTCTCGATGTCATTGCCAGATAATGAAACAATAGAAACCAATCAGAATGAAAGTTTATTTCAATAATTCACCTGTCTTTCCAAGTTTCATTGTAATCACATCTGTAAATGACATTGGTCTTCATTCAAACTGATTAATCAATATGAAACAAGATTTACTTGCTTAAAAATACCTAAAAATTTAAATTCACTGTTGACCCAACATTAAATTCAGTAGCTAATCAAGCACATAATATCTAGATTTGTTGAAAATTTTTCAATGAAAATATTCAACAAGTAAAACTGGATTCTTGAAGATGATCAGTTTATCCTGATTTGTGAAAATTGAATTTATCATTTATTGTGAGCTTCTATTTGAATGGGATAACATGGCAAAAGACCCCTTTCAATGTAAAATAATTTATTATATTCACAGTTTTATTTATCTTCATTTTTTTAACAATGAATCAAGATACAAAGAAATAAAATTGATTTTCTTTATGCTGAATAAATAAAGAGTTGTTGTTAGTCAACTAGATCATCAATCTAAACTGAAACGAGTTAAAAGATACCCAATTTCAGTTGAAAAACACTTCAACTACAAAATAAGCTTACTCTTGAATCCGTTTCAACCCAATGGTAACCTTTGTGTTCCCTAAAAACTATTAATATTTGAAACATTTTTCACTCCTCTTTGTACCCTTCAGTATATCTTCAGTATAATAATTATATTGAATTTTAATTTCACTATTAGACTCTTAATAGCGTGCTACAAATTACTTAATATATGTCTACTTTTATTCATTATTTGTGAATGATATGTTGATACTTTTTTTGCGTAAATATAATGCAACTGAATCAATCTACTGAGATGATTGAATTTCCAATCATGATTAGTATAACACATTAACATAGCCATGAATTGTATTAAATTTAATACTTAATTTATTCAAAATTATTCACTTTCATACTTGACTTGAAAAACTCAGCTTGACAATAATTTAATATCATAAACTAGATTTTCATTCAACATTTGTTACAATTGCTCGTTTTTACTAAAGTTGAAGCTGGAAAATGAATTTACAGAATTTTAATCAACATTTCCACAGAATTTGATAATTTCTCAAAGATGGAGACAAGTTGATTTCATTGAAATTTTCATCACGATTGCAATAAGCAGTGACTAAAAATTGAAATCATATTTACTATTAAAATGATTCAATTGGCCATCACTTTTGAATATTGAACATCACGCAATTTACTTGAAACTTGACATATTCATGATACTCACTCTTATCCCACATTATTGCAAGATTCAGTTTCCTCAATTTTGACTCTCTTTTCACTGGGATGGGCCTTCAACTCTAGTCTTTACTTTCATCGTTTTTTTGGTTGTGATCAGTTATTAGTTTAAGGGTAACTTGTTTTAATAATAAAAGGCTAACATGATGTCGGATTGTTGTCAGATCCTCCTTGATGATAATGATGACAATGATGATCAACTGACATCAAATGAATTACGTGACTCGTGATGTTAACTATCGTCCATCATTGCTACATGAATTTCATTGTTAGATGTTTCCATGATTAACTCATTTCTGTAACCTTTTCCAACCTTGCAATTATTGCCTTTCCAGCTTCATCCCTCTTCACCCTCACTGGCCTTTTCATTTCCCATCGCAATTGTATTTAAACCCAAAAAGAACCCAAAAGAACCCAAAAATTTAAACTCAACTCTCAATGTGATTATCAGTTAAAATATTAAATGATGTCAAGAAATTAACCACGCAATGTTACTATCAATTTCATTACTCTTAATTAACCAGTAATGATAACCTTTTTTCATCATTTGTCTCTATTTTCAATCTTTCATTACTTTTACTCTAATTACTTTTAATTTAAATTTACTATTACATTTGAAAGTCCAATTAATAACTTTAATTTGTTTAACCACCTAGTTATATGAACAATTAGTTAACCATTGAGGTTGAACAAAAAAGTTGTTACTTAATATTTCATTTCAACATAAAACCATTCATCTATCGCTCTCTCTTCCTCCTTACTCTTTGGATTGGTGAAATTGAGTAAAAACAAATTACACCAAATTTCACCAATAATCAAGTTGCAATCAATTTTACTATCGAATCACAATTTTACTCATTCATGGTGTTCATTGAAAACAAAATAAATCAATTGGTAAAGGAAATAAAGGGGAAAAATGAAGAGATGAAGATGATGGAAATGAGGAAAATTGTGAGATGAGAGAAACAGTGTTTTCTTGAAACAATTATTACTGTTTTGGTTACTGTTGCGACCTTTTCAAAGTAACTCAATTCCTACATTAGACACTGAAATCGATGTAAACCCTTTTGATCGATACTCGATGTTCGATATTTATTCTTGTTCGCCTCTTTTTGTCTTTATTGTGATATTTTGTTACAACCAATCGATTGATCCTTCTAGTTGAATTCAATCAATAAGATTGACCTACTTTCTCTGATGATCCTATAACAAAATGTTGCCCGATTCAGCAAGTTTCACAATAAAAGCCAATGACAATAATAACAAATGTTGTACATGTTAAGGTGTCCAACAATTTACCAATTGAGTTGATTCAGTTTCTCTCTGATTAACCTTCCAGTTTCATAAATAACCCAAAATCGACCCTCTTTTTTTGTTGCAACTCCCAACAAAAAATGACACTGATTGTGATGATGAGGCTTGAATTCATTGCTTGAACTCGATGAATGTAAGATGAAAACAATCATCATCATTAATTGATTCTCCATTTCTGTTTCTTGTTTCTCTGTGTTAATCGATTTTAATTAAATGATATTCTACTGACGAAACGTTTTCCTTTTTTCACTCTGTTTCCTATTAATCATTTATTGCTATCCAGTTAATTAAAGTTAATTTATTAACCAAATGGCCAACAATTTGTCTCAAAATGCTGTACAATTCAGTTGAGATACAAAAGGTTCATTCTGTTTCTTTTCCTCCTTTCACTACAAGTTTCCGATTCCCTTTTGTGTAGAGCACTTGTAAACGGTGGGTTTTCATCAATGCTAAAATTCTGATTGAAAATGTTTCGTAAAAGTTCGATAACCAGATTAGAACAGAAAATTAAGTAAAGATTGAATCGTCTGAAAAACTCTGCTTTCTGTATGTGAAGTCATTCGAGTTCTGATCATCATGAACAATAGATTGATCTCTCATATGATCAGTTAGATTCTGTTTTGAGTAAAATTCATTTCTATTCTAAAATTATCATTCAATTTTCATGTTTTGGGTTAACATCATTTCGTTAACTTTTATGATTATATGAATAAGCTGTTAATGGCCAGCCTTTACTTTAGGTTTTTCAACTTGAATGACAAATGTTAATAACTGAATTGAAATTAAAAATTAAAACCATATTTTTGTTATGAATTATTGAACTTTATTAAAAATCAAATTGAAAATTCATGGAAAGTGTGAAGCTGTGAGCTTGTGATTGTAGCGATAATTGCCTAAATTGTAGTTAAACTGTTGTTTTGATTGCTCCATCGAGTTGTTGATCTTTTTTTTAGCATTTCAATGAAAATCAATCAAGTTTATTTTGATATTTTTCTCGTCAATTTGATCCTCTTTCTTCTTAATTTCATCTTTTAATTCAATTCTTTTCCTGTTGCAATCCTGAAATGAAGAGCAAAAAATTCATTCACTTGGACAATCTAATTTCATCTCTCCATTATTTTCCTCCTCAACTGTCTTCATTTTCATCCTTTAATACTTTCTCTACTCCATCATAATCAGTTATCTCGCTTATCGCCATATACTTCCGTTGAACTCCATGAGAATGCTATTTTTAATGAAAAACCAAATTCTTGTTCCGGTTTTCTATTCTCTCAGTCCATAACATTGCCATTTTCATTAATAAACTGAACAGTCAACACACACACACATCCAACAAGCTAAACAACAATCTGAATAAACTTCTCTCATCTCTTGAATCAATCTGTAAACAGGGAAAACAGCAAAAGCGGGTCGATAATTGAAGTTGCACAAGGAAAATAGCATCTTTACATTATCGCTGTTCATCATTTCACTCAACAATCCTTTGACTTTTCCCTCATTCCTTCTTATTCTGGTTTCAAGCAATAAAATCCAACAACTAAAAATATTTCATCTTGAAAATTGAGATGAAAATTCTTTCTTTTATCCGCCAATTTCATCTTTCATTCACATTTCCCTAACCTTGACACTCACAATCCTTGGTTATCATCATCATTTCACCTACTTTTATCCTGAAATGAGCAAATCTTTCAACTATTATCGTTATTCATACTCCTTTATTAGATCATTACTCCAACTATTCAAACATTTTTTGATTAAATTCATTACTAACAGAGAAAGCAAATTAACTCAAGATTCCAGTCATTATACAAATCGGATTCAGGATTAATTGTGATTCAGTCATTTTAATCAAATAATGAATTTCCATTCAGATGACCCAGTCTTTGGGTTGCCTAGTTTTGCCTGAAAATCCCATTTTTCAGGTTATAATAAAGACTGATAATAGCAAGTAATAATATCTTCATATTTTTACAGCATTCTGGATGAGTTTACTGTAACTTATTGAACGCAAAAGTTTCAATTGCACTTCAATATTTTCTCATGAAATCTCTTTTCAATTCATTTGTATCTTTATTGTAAAAGTTTATCATGAAACTTACATCGACTGTTACCATTTACAGAGACAATAATCAACTCTTTTATCTGAATTTTTGTTTTTCTTTCACTTAAACTTGAGCATTTTTGTGTCAAAATTGGTTGAAAGGACAAGAAAAAGGTTTGACAAAATGTTTCAAAGATGATGAAAGTTAAATGATGTTCAGTCAAAATGATTCAACTTTTTACTGGAAACCATTTTTAAAGGGTTATTCAGTCCGAATTGTTGAACAGTAAATGGTTACAAAAATATTATCAAAAGTGACTCTAATTCATTGGTGAACAATATTTTCCTGTTCAATCATTTTCACACTTAAACAACAATGAAAAAAAGGTTCAACAATAAAAGTTACTTTTTTACTTTTAATGTTGTAATCTTTGATTCTTTCAATTATCATTGTCCATTGAAAAAATTCATGAAACTTTCTTCGAATACTTTAAACATGGAAACTTGATTGATAGCAATTAACAATTTAGTGATGCAAAAGATGATAAATTAATGCTTTGCTTTCTTCTCGTTTTCCAGTTTAAATTGATTCCAATTTTCCCTAAAAGCTCAACAATCTATTGATTTGAATCCATTTTATTCTGAATCTTATCGCTTAGGTTTCATGATGGTTGAGTGTCTGAGTTTAGCAGAAATGTGAAAGGACACTTTTAGGAGTAAATGAGTGAACAATAATGAAAGTGGAAATGAAAGGACAGCAATTTAATCAGAGGAGAAAAATAAATGTCAAAAAGTATTTCTTCTGATTACATGATTATCAGAAAGAACTGGAAATGAGAGCAAATGAATAATGGTCATGTGAATGTATAACAATCATGAATTGAAACATGTACAACAATTCAGTGGAAAAAAGATGAACATTATTTAATATTGGGTGTCAAATCTTGTTTGGTAACAAAATCTTTTACGTTTTTCTTTCGTTATAATTTAATCGATTCGTTTGATGAGTAAAGAGTTGAAAGGCTGTTTACTGAAACCCTTTTCATCTCGACTGTTAGTCATTCATGGTTACTTGATTCGTATTTGGAATTGTTTTTACAATGATATTCAATTTCTAGTTATCATCATCTTCCAATGATTACATTAATTAAAACATTTTTTCAACCTTCATTATCGTTCACTTTGTTTCTCCAATATTATCGATTCCATTATCTGTACCAGAATTTAGGTTCCCCAAGAAATTGCCATGTAATATCCAAAGATGCGCAGATAAGGTTAATTTAATTTTCGACTTGCAATTCACTTTCATGTTGTCCTCATAATTTCATGTTGCACCAGGCAAGCTAAACAGTCTTTTTCCAGGAAATTTTCTGAAGAAAAGCACAAAATTTCAAATTAGATATCAAGTCTGATAACCTTTCGAAGTTTGTTGTTTCAAATCTTTACAGTAAAATCATTTTGAATCGATCAATTTTAATCATCGTGATTTGTGTTAATCCCTCTTCAGAATCGATCGAGAGATTTTCCAGATAAATTGTTCGCTAAGTCAGAAAATTTATTTGGCTTTCATTCACCAAGAAAAGTCGATTTCAATGAGAATTATCTTTATGATCAAAATGCGAAGATCGACTTTTATTCCTGTTGATTATCTCAAGCGATTAAATCCAAATACCAATCAATTTTTTGTATTTATTCATCATTTACATCACTCTTTCGTCATTATGTCGATCCTTTTCTGCCATTTTTACTTTCATGATGAGTTGATTCATTTCTTTTTTCATTCAATTTTCTCATTTTTTATTCGTTTCCACATTTGAATCGCTGATAATTCGTGTGACAATGAAAAGAAAGAAAATGATGAAAATAAGAAAATTGGCAAAAATAGAATTTATTTCTCTTCAATTACCGCATGATATTTAAACCATTGAAAGTTCATGTCATGACAATTTTCATCAATTTCATCATTTACCATCAACTCTGTCCTTTTTGTAATTGTTTCAACCTTTCAATATTTTGATTAATTCATTCTTGTTTGGACTAATTTTTTTCTTGCTCCAACTTCACTTGTTGCTCCATTTTTTGTTCATGTCATCATTTTCATCCTTATTTTTCATTTGTTCAGGAGCAGTAAAGTATAAACAGTAAGAATGATTGAAAAAAGCATCACAAGATTAAACATTCTGAAACATTTTCTCATCCCTATCAGTATATTTTATGATACCAACCGATATTATTATTTTCATCTCAATTGCATTGTTACCCTGAGTAAAACCAGTTGAACAACAGCACATGCTGAGATTTGTTTTTTTTGTAAAGCCAACCATTCCATATCATAAATCATTTTACAGTCAACTAAGACTTTTTTACTTGTTATACTTGCTGCCAGAATAAATCGTTTCTTTATCCATGTATTTCATTCCAACAATCATATCAACAAACTCATTCCCTGAATCGTATAATCTTTCCTTTTTGTCATCTTCTCAATGCAAGCAAAAAATCATTCCTCAAGACGAATCTTGAATAACGTTTTTGCTCACAATTTTTTCCTTTTACGAATTTTCAGACTTTCATTTCATTTTCTTCAAAGTCAATTCCAAAATTGTGAATAAACAAATTCGGCGAAAAAAAAGTTCTATTTCTTTTCCAGTTTCATCTCATGAAACGGAATGAACTCATGTTTTTATCGGCTTTTATCTGATTATCAATAAGTTCATATGTTCAATTAAAATGATCGTTAATGTTCATTACTTGTCATCTGAATCTTGGTTTAACACAGAATTAACCTCAATAATTATATCCATTTTGCATTCTTCTTACCATTAATGATATTCTAGACCTTTAATGAGCTTTTCAACTCGCTCATGAAAATTAATAACAATAATCTAACTTTACTCAAGCAAATAATTAGCCTGGAAACCTTTTTTTCCCTCCCAGTGAAAAAACGATTTTAGCCTTTGAAAAAGTCAACTTTCATTAAAACTTAATGTTGTCAACATGAAGCTGCCTCGTTTAATTGACTAACTCAAAGTGAAGCTTGAAAATGTTCACAAGTTTAAAGGATGACAAAAAAAGTTGAACATTGAAAACTCGATGACAAGATGCTTATTATGGACCAACATTTTGTCCAACCACTGATAATTAATGTCCATCATCTTTACACTTTGTTATTCAAAAGATGGTCAACTTTAATTATCTTTACTAATTTACTGAATTTATCATTAAACATTGTTAACCATTTTTTGCTCGATCTTTTGAAATGATTTTTGGTCAATGTTTTACATTCATTTTAGTCTTTTCTTTGTTTTTTATGGCTGGTTGTGTGAGTAGTTGGGCTCATGAAATCAATCTACAATTATTAATCATTAAATGTGATTCTTTCTTTTCTCTTTTAATCTGTTAATCAATGTTTCCCATGTAATTCTTATCCAACTATTGATTCACCATTAGTTTCATTGGACATTCACTTGGAAACATCATAATTCGAGCTTGTATATCTCATCCTGAGATGCGTTGCTGGAGATCAAAGTTTCATACATTTTTAAGCCTATCCGGACCTCATCTTGGAACCGTTTATAACAATAATGGATTAGTCAATATGGGTAATTATCATGTCTATTATATTTAATATTATTATGACATCTTATGATCATTTGTTCATCTCTATGTGTCTGTGTTACAGATCATTAACAAATTAGGTTAATTGCTGAATTGGTCATTTCTTTTAGGATAACATCAAAACTCGAAACTTAAAGTTAATCTCTTTGCTTAAAAAAATTAACTAAACCAGTTTTGACGAAACAATTTAATCAAGAAACAAATCTAATAACAGAATACAATTTCAAAGTTCTTCTGTCAATCCCTTCAAAACTCAGAATACGAACTAAAATTAAAAATGAAAGGAAAAACAATGAAATCAATTTTAATCGAATGTCCGATCCAGAAAAATCTTATTCTTCTGAAGGAAAATTTCTAGTGAATCTTTCTTGTTGCAGAATTCAGTCTTATTTACTTTTGAAGTTCACTTCAAAACGTTGAGAAAATGGAAAATATTAAAAATATCAAATAATTAGAAAAGCAATAAAGTTTGAACATTTTCTTTGAATTGAAATTTACTAATCACAGAATCTCTAATTATATCATTTTTCATTGATATCGTTGATGTTGGAAATGAACTTGAAATTATTTATAACTTTGATTGAGTTAAATGTTTCAAGATTATTCAAAGACTGTCAGTTTGATGAACGGAAACTTGATGAGACTATCAATATCCATCAATCCATGTAAAAGTGATTGGTCAAAAATCTTAGTCTAATGGAACGATATTGAACTGAATAAACTTTAGCAGAAAATTTTCCATAAAATATTCCAAATTCTGTCAATTGATTTTCTGCTTTTTGTTTCTGTCCAAATTGATCAAACTTGTTTTTATTCATCAAAATTTACTTTCAAAAGCATCAAGAAAAAGCTGAATCAATACTGATATTTTCACTTTCTAATTGTATTCAGAAATGATAATTCATCAGATAATTCAAAGTTGTTTTATTGCGAAAAAAATGTTTATTATTCTTGATTACATATTTTTATTCTGATATCTGATTCAGCAATCCTCAATCAATACTAAAACATTATCATATAATTAATAAGCACAAAATTGTAAGATTGGTAATCGATAAAATTCATGGAGATGAAATTTTTTGCTTTATTCTTGTTCCTTCTCCTTCAATTAGGAATTAACAACGAAAAATAATCCAACAAATTAAGGTCAAATTTGATTGATTAACATTCATAATTAACAAAGCATTTAACGATTCAATGGAAAATGAAAACAGATTATCTTTTGAACCTGAAAATTCATTAAACACCAAATTTTAGCTTCAATTTAAACTAATAAATCTCAAGTTACTAATTGAGACTTTGATCAATTTACACTCAGCAATTAATCAGAATCACTTTAGATTGAGTTAACTCGACAATGACAATAACTGTCCAACTGTGATAATTTAATAAGAAAATTGAAGACTCATTAAATCAGGGAATCCAAATGATGTCCCTTTTCCTGAATCAGATTGGACATGAAATTGCATGTAAATTGTAACTTAGCGAATAATGAATTTATCTTTTTTTTGTTGTCTTCTTGCCGTCTTCAGGATTATGGTTCATGCAGAAATTGAAAAAGTCTGAATCTTTGCTTCAACTTTCCATGAAAGACTCAACCGACCCTAGAAAAACCTTCCTGTACAAATTAAGCCAAGAACCGGGACTCGAATTTTTCCGTTACATTCTTCTGTGTGGATCATCTCAGGACCATTATGTTCCCATTCACTCATCTCACATTGAATTGTGCACTCCATCCATCAATGATACATCCATGATAGGTATATATATTGAATACAATCATGTCCAATAATCACTCTATTCAATGTTCATTTCATCCTTTTCCTGAACTTTATGGACATTTGAGTACACTTTGCTTCTCCAGACGATGTTTTGTCCTTTTCCTTTCATCTGCTCGCCTTAATCACTTGACCTTTTCTTTTACTTTCGTTTCTCTCTTTTCCTTCATTTTACTTTCATTTCTTCCTTTTCCTTCTTCTCTCTCTCTTCATCAGCATCTTCATCTTAGCTCATGAGAGTTCTTGTTTTGCATTAGTGATTGGCTGTAGTTAACAGTCAAATAACAGTGAAAGATTCATTCATCTTGATGCATTTCCATCTCATTCGGGTTTCCATTTTGGATATTATTTTCCCTCTAAATTTATCCCATCATGTTGATCATTCTTGATCACCATGAAAATGTTCACTTCACTTTTCCTTTTAGATTCACATGAACACAACACTACAATATCAACATCTCATCCATTATCTGTACTCAATTAGGATACAATATTTGCCCTTTATTTTCCTCTTTTCCTCATCACCAGCATCATTCATCTTACAAACAATTTTCATTATAAATCGCCAATCAATTAACTACAATTTCAGTCTAAACACTCTCAACCCTTTACAGTTCAATCTAAAATAGTGAACAGCAATTTCCATCAAAGTTTCAATCATTTTCTCATTTCTCACAGAATCAGTAAAATGAGGAAAAATGATAAATATACATAAAAAGGTCTAAATGCTGATGTTGATAAAAAGATGAAGACACAAGTAAAAAAAAGGAAAATTGATATTTGTTCGATTGAAGACAGAAAAAGATAAAATCTCTTGTTTCCTATTATTGTTATCATATCTTAGTGTCTCATCTTCATGTTGCATCTTCATCTTTTTACATCCTTTAATCGTCAATTCCGTTTTCATTTTTTCCCTCAACGACTCAAGTTACTATTTGGTCAACCTCATTGTCAGCCAAGTTTAACTTTCCAACTCCCAGTTCACCTCCCAGTGTAACTCCCTGTAAACTCCAATCAAATGTTTTTTTCCATTTAATAATTTTTAATTTTTCTTTCTTATCCTTCACCAGGAATCTCATATCGAGAAATGGTTACAAATCTTCTTCATCCGATAGTTAAAAATGGCCATTCAAAGTTGATTCGATATGATGTTCACCATGCTTTATCTTCAAATGCCAATTCCATAATAGGTCGAGCGGCTCATATTGCTGTCCTTGATTCCGAGCTTTTCATTGAAAAGTTTATGGTTGTTGTTGGCTTGAAATACTTTGTCTGAAAACACTTGAATTAATCTCAATTCAAGGGATCATCTCAATAATCATATTTAGATGTAAAACATTTATTCCTTGACTTTGACCAAAATTGAGTCGCCACATTGACTGGTTATAATTAATCTTAAACACTGAACACTCCCAGTTATCCAATGGAATCCAAGATAACATTTTTACAAACCAATGTTTTCTCAGCCTTTGCAAACTTGTCATTGAATATGAAATGGTATCGATCTTCATGTTGATAGATGGATAAGGTTCAACCAAAAGCATCATTATCATCATTATTATCAGCTAAAGACAACAATCGTATTACCATGAATAAGTTGGAAAAGTTTGGAAAAGGGAAAAATGCTGAATAAAATTATCATTATTGCCATTCAGCTAAATGCAGAATCGAGCTTGGTCATCTCAATGTTGCTCTAATATTTACTGGCAATGGATTTGGATAAATGATGACATTAGGTCGACAAGTTGAGATGAAAATTATTCAAACTTATATATTTATATTAGTTGTACATCTTGCTGTTATCCATAAACTGTTATCAATAGATTCACCAAAAATAATCAAAAATGCACTTGAACCATGAGATGAAACAACAACTTAGTACAAAAGAAAGTTGAACAAAAGGCAAACTGATTCATTTGAAAACTCTGTCAACATGAAACTCGAAGAAAGTGTCTTACAATTTAAATCGTCAATTCATTGATTCCTGACAAGTAAACATTGTAAGCCAAAGTTGATTTCAATTTAATCACAACAAAGTGCTGTTGATCAGCATTTAGCACTGATTAATTTGAAACATTTACATTCCTATGTTCAACTTTTCCCTTTTTGTTTCTTTTTCGTGAGTTTCCCTGAATCGCTAATTGTATTGATTTACATTAAATAAAGACTTTTAAATCTAAAGTTTTGTTTATTCGTTGCCAAAGTGAGGTTAAGGTTATGAGACTTGAGTCAACTTGAGATAGGAAATTTGATTCATGGTAATGATCAAGTTGCAGGTTAGTTAATTGACCATCAATCAGTCCGTGAAGCATTAATTAATAAACATTTGTGACAATTTATGGTCCAATGAAAAGCTATAAAAAGATTTCAACCTTTTTAATCTCGTCTCGACATTTTTAAGCAAACGATTGTTGATCAACAATGAATGTTGTTGTTTGGAGAAACATTGGAAACAGATAATTTCATTCATTAATCTTGTTCATCTTTTCATTTCCAGTTTCCTATCTTTTTGCGGATTGAACAATTTTCAATGGATTCCAATTAGAATCGATCAATCTTCCAGTTGAGTCGACTCATCGTCATGATCGGTGTTGGAAGAATGGGTGAAGAAAGAAGAAGAAGAAGAAAAATGTTTGTCAAAAGAAAGGTTATAGATGATAACGGGAAGAAGAAAATGAAGAGAACAGAAATGATGATAAAATTTTCAGATGAAGAAAGTAAGAATGATATTAAAAAAACAGAAAACCAAAGAGCAACCCAAAGATGAGTAACAGTCAGTTGAAAGTAGATAAGAGCTGGGAATTGAAACTGGGAGTGAATTTTGTTCTTGTTCATGATAAATACAAAAGATCGTTGAATATACTGGGAGAGAGAGAGAAGAAGAAAAGGAAGAGAAGAGAAGAAAAAAGTTGTCTCTATTCTCTCACCCTTTTGCACTCTTTTGTCTTCCTTCATCATCTCTGGTTGCGCCAGGCAATTTGGTAGATCAACTGTTTATTGAACAGAGAATAAAAAAACAGAGCCTTTACCCTGATTCAGCGCAGTTTCAGTAATTTCCAGTTGAAACCTTTTCTCTCAACTGATATCATTGATCAACTTGAAAGAGCTAGGCCAATTCTCCCTGTTATCATCATCATTATCATCATTTTTTTGCTTGTTATTCTTTCTCTTCCAATTCACTTCTCAAGGTACATTTAAATACAAAACCTGTTATCCAAAACAGTTTTAACGTTTTCCTTCATTTTTCCTTCTTCGGTCAACTTTGCTAATTTGTTCACTTCAAGAACCCATTTTTGTACCCAAACATTGTGATTACAAATCATTACTTTTCGTGGTTCCTTTACTCTTTTGTCCCACTTGATATTTGGATTTTGCTTCTTCTTCAAAATAATGTCACACTGAGACAATAGACGAAACTCACCAGGGTGTGGTAATTACTCGCGGGTGATGAGAAAGATTAAGATGAACACACCGGCTTGTGCATTATCCACTTACAATGGTTCATCAATCAACTGTAATCCTAAAGGAATCAACGTGTAAAATCGTTTGTTATACAACATCTTCTACTTCAAAGTAAAATTATCTTCAACAATTAAAAGTGATATTAAACTATTTATTAAAACAATCAAGTAAATACAAGGTAAGAATTGTAATCAATTTTGTTGACACAATTTTGGGTAAAGCAAGGAACAAGAAAAATCGTTAATCATTCTGTAACTTGCTTATTATGCTCCATTCATATTGTACATTATGCTTTTCGGTACCAATTTTTGATTGATTTTTACCTTTTTTATTATTTTCTTTCTTCTTCTTTTTTCCTCCTCTCTTCTCTTCACTCTTCCCATTCAGTTGAAATTGTATTGCAGGTTATTTAATTATGTATATAAATAATAATATGAATGACAACAGCATTCTCACAGGGAATATTTCGATCGATTCTCATATTGATAAACTTAAATGGTAGTTACAGTTAGCAACATTTTCCCTTCAATAAGATTCGCCAGTTTGCTGGAAAGTCCTAAATACAATGGACAATTTAAACCCATTTACATTCGATAATACAAAATCTAGAATTTAAATTCCCTAGAAATTATCAAAAGAAAAGAAATTCAGTCAAAATTGAATTCAACTTTTCCATATTCTTGGTTTACTCTAGTTTTGGTAGAAATTTTTGCTTCGAATTTTGATGTTTTTAATGTTGTGATTTTATTTGTAATTTCTGTTTAGATTTGATGCCGAACTGTCGAAGTTATTTTCTGAGTATTTTAAGATTGAAGTTAATGTGAATGTAAATCGAAGACTGAAATCGTTGGAACAAGACTTTAAACGGGAATTTTGTTTCCAATATTTATTTCAGTTTCAGTTGTTTTTGTGGAAATGTTTCACTTTGATCGATTAAAGCATTTCTTGGAAACTGGTTAAGTTTTTGATTAATATTATGATTTGGTTTTTCTGTTAACCAGATTTTGGGTTTTTGTATGTTTTAGCAAGATGAAGCATAAATTGAAGCGAAATGTTGGAGTAAATTTTTGGACTGAATTTTGGGATTGAAGTTTTGGGTTGTTGATTGGTTCAGTGGAAACATTGTTTGTAAGATGCTGAGTTGTGAGATTAGATAATGATATAAAGAGAAGGGAAAAGTAACTGTTTTCCGTCTCTCATTTCCTTGTCGACATGATATTCAGAAAGACAGATAACATGGGAAAGAGAAGATAAATTGAAAGGAGAGCGTTTCCTGGTAACGTTAGTTTCAATATTTTTCTTGCTTCATCCAATCTCTAAATGAAATGGTGAAAGCTGAAGTTACTGACAAGATTGCCTTTCCAAAAGGTTCAGTCCAATTGATTCAATGAGTTGATCATCGATTAAATTTCTCTTCCAAATTGTTCTAAATGTTACTTTAAACCTTTTTGTTTCATCTTCAATTGTTTTCCTCTCTTACAGATCATCTTTTTGGGTCCAAAAGGCACAATTTGTGGTTCATTTCAATGGATTTGGCTACTTAATCAACTTTAATTGTGAACTCGTTTTGTTGTTTATCGCCTTTTATTCAGCGTCTTCCCGTTGTTGGTTTACTTTTTGTATCAAGTTATGTGGAAACGCTAATTTGTTAATCAGTGTTTAATTTATTACCATTAAGTGCACATTTTTGGGCCAAAATTTGGATTAACTTCACTTTAAAATGAGGTAAAGTTTGAAAGCATTTGAATCTAAACTTATTTTCTTGTTTCCAGATCAACGTTTAATTGTTATTAGTCAAATTGATCAACTTGTTGATTTGCCTTAAACTAAATTGTAAAGAATAGTCCGAGTTTAGTGAAGTTACTAAAACTGTTTCATTCATTGAGTAGAAATTAGATTTAAACTAAATTTTAAACCTTAATTTTCTATTTTTATTAACAATGAAAATGCATTTATTTGATTTAAATTAAATTTTATCCTTGATTTCCTTCAACAGTTATTATTAAATTATTGGATTTAAACCCGAATTGGTGATGCATATTAAGAAAGAAATCAATTTTGTTCCTTGCAACAATTAAAAATTCAAATTGATTTGCCTGCTATAATATTATTCAAAGATTGATTTACTGATTGGAACGATTATATTCAACCAACTGGCCTGTATTACCAATTGATTGAGAATTGCTACAAAATTAGTTCCCAAATAGATTTAAACAACTCAATTATCAAACTGAATCCACAGTCCGGGTAGGCTAATTGTTGATATTATTTGTGTCGTAATTGTGTCCTCGCTATCAGCGCTTAATGTCTAATTGTGTTTCTTGTGCTTAGCCTAAAAACCAAACTCAAACTCAAACCAAAACCCAAATCTAAACCAAAATCCAAACCCAAGCTAAAACCCAAACTCAAACTCTAACAAAATCCTAACCAAAACCTTAACCTAAACCCTAAACCAAACCACAAACCTGAAACTCCAAATGTTAAACTTCAATCCTTTAACCTTAACATTCAATAACAAAACCAAACCTAAACCCAATTTCCTAATAAATTAACTTAACCCTGACTACTAGTGTATCTAAATATTGAATTAATTTGATTCCAGTTTAAACTTCCAGTGAATTATTCTTGAAATGATACAAAAAAGACTTTTTATAATCGTTTTAGCACACAACTTACGGATATATTAACCATTCCTATCGGTTCAATATAAACTGTTTAGTAGATTTATTTAGATACACACAATGAAAGTCACAATTAGAGTAACAATTCACAGTTTTACAAGTAACTTAAATAACAATAAAGGTTTGTCGTTTAGTTTGATTCAAAAACCTTAAGACTTTGAAAGTAAACCATTTCATCTTTATATGCTACGATTGGATTCATTTGATCGTTATTTATGTTTCGATGATTTTTGCTTCAAATCAATGTTTCTGCTTGTTTTTATTTGTTTTAAATGCTTGTGCTAACCAAATGTTTAGTTACTAAACCTTTTTCAACTGTAAATATCTGTGCTTTGTGTTTGTATGAAAATTGCTGCTTTATGTGTTTCCATCGTCTAGTCAATTCCAAGTGATGTTGCGCTATCACAAAATGTGTGTCAATGAATCCCTGTTTGTTGCTTTCAAAAAACAAGCTCTCAAATTATTAATCAACTAATTGAATTCATTTTTCTTTTCAGTAATCACATTAAGAACACCAACAAACAGACAAAATTCACCCACTCGAATGAGCATCCAATAAACTATTAGCAAAAGTGAAACAGAAAAAGAAAAGAGTTTAGAATAAAAGAAATGACGAAAAGATGCAATTGTTGATCACACATTAATTCACTCTCACAATTAACTCACACAAACACACAAACACAGTTTGAATGAAACACTTAGTTGCCTGATTAAACGATGATTAGTTTAAAACTGTAGTTGGCCTGGAAAATTATTTAACCAAGAAACAAAAAAAAACGAAATCTAAAGTTTGCATTGAAAACGCACATTGTTTTGTCTTTAGTGGATAACAAACATTTTAGTTGAATGCTTGAAATTTGCCTGTCTTTTATTATTAATGAAACAATAAGTTAAAAAGCGGAAAAACACGTTAAAAGGATAACGAAAACTGGTCTATTCTTGACATAAACTCCCAGTTTGCTGGGAGTTTTAACTGGAGATATAATAGTTCTGATTAACTGGCAGTTTCCAGAGAAACAACATTTTAACATTTTGTCTTTTTCTTTCCTTTCCTTGTTGCGTGATTCATGAACGCCATCAAATTGAATCAACACTAATCATCAATCGACCGTTTTTTTTTCATCATTCTGTATTTGTTTCCATTTAATCAACGTTTGTATTTGCTCACCAATTGATTCTCATCATGAACAGTGCAGCGGTTATTGGCCGTCAACTTCGTCAACAAGCAACAACCGGTCGAACCTCAGGTCCTCTGGTTCCACCTCAGGCACCTGGCAAGGGTCGACCTCGGACACCGTCACATGCTCCCACCTCGGGTCGCCCCTATTCACCTGCTCCAGCCTCAATGACAGGGACGTCCGGTGAACGGTACAATGTGATTCCTGGAGCAGGTGGAGGAGGCGGTGGACCCGGTGCCAGTCATTTAAATTACCCTTCTTCCCATTCGGGGCTCTATGGGGAGAAGGAGAGGAACAAAGGTGAAGAGCCCAAACTTCAGTGTACTTGGCATTGTTTCTGTGTTGCCCTTAAAGCGCTTTCCGGTGGTTTAGTCCTTTTTGTGGCTGGAACCATCATGTCTGTGGTTGGCTTTGTGGCCGATGCCAATCACAATTCAACGCAAACCCTGTCCAATGATACCGTCATTGAGACTCCGCTTCCCTCAGTTTTTCGTAATTTAACCTTTGCAGGTCCCGTCATCATGGGTCTTGGAGGTATTGTTATTGTTGCCGCTCTTGTTTTAACCTTTGAAGTGCGTGATACTCTCGGTGTTAAAGTTGTCCCTGCAAAGCCAAGTCCACGGACAGCACCGCCTGGCAACAGTGCTTTACCAACATTAACCAACGACAGCAACACTCTTTATCCAACCAAAGACTCTAAAGGTGAAGTTGGAGCAAGTAAAAAGCCTTCAACCAAATCAACTTCAAATTTAGTTTTAGACCAACGGAAAGAGGCGATACCTTCGATAGCCTCAACCATGTCACCTGAAAATCGAGTCTCCAATCAATCCATTGAAGCAAGTGCAGCGAAAAAGTTGACTCTTGATATTGGACACTCGATGAACCAACGAGGTTCAACCCAAACGGGTAAAGAACAGTTGAAAGGACCATCAATATCAACCGCACCAATGACCAATGGAAAGCACCCAAATGGTGATCCTCTCAACAATCAACTTCAACAGCAACATCACCATTTATCAGTGCGAAATGGTTCAAGTGGCGCAACTCGAGGTAAAGTTAAACTTGATCCAAGTTCGTTGACCATTCCATTTGACATTCTCTCCGATCTTGGTCCAGTGACGGGAAGTTTCCATCGACAGCGATTGGGTGATACAGAGACGGCATTCAATGGACTACTTCCACTTGATGATCCACTGATTATGGATTCAAGTCGATCGCGAGTCCAAGGTTCCAAAGACAACAAGGTGTGTGTTTAACAAATTAACAACAACTCAGAAAACAGTGAATAACTGAACAAAAAGACAGATTAAATGTTAGCAGAATCATTGAAATCAATAGACAGTAACAATCAATGAAAAACTCATATTTAATTTAACTACATTTAGATATATTTATACAATTGAACAACATAAGTGATTGCATTAACTGACATTATTTTATTATTATTGCTCGGAATCAAGTTTCCGTTAGCAGCTGCCACATTCAAGTGTGCTTTGTGTTTATAAAAGTATTTATTTTCATTGGCCATTCCCAGCAAATCAATATTTTTATTTCCCTTTCTTTTGTTTCTTCTCAACATTCAATGCTCTTCCAACCTGCACCTATTCAGATCAATGCAAACATCCATCCTAAATGCGCTTCCGGATGATTTGTGAATCCATTTTTTGCACTTTACATTCAATACTGTGACTGATTCTGTTGTTTTTATTGTTCAATCGCTTCAGATTTACTTACTGAATCAGGTTTGCAACAATTTACCAGAAAATGTTTCATTTAATAGATTCAACTGTTTAACTTGGAATAGCAAATGAATGGATTTAAGCAATTACAGAGTTATTAATTTTCTGAATCAACTTTAAATGCAAAGATTTATTTTATTTTGAAAAGTTCTGTAATTTTCTGACTATTGAATGTCAGTCTTGGAGAATTGATGTGATAGATTCAGAAGACGAATTAGGTCAATGAAGTTATAAACCATTTCTTGTTATTTATCAGTTTTTCCAGTAAACTTTTAGTAAATATTCCGAACTGTCGATGAAAATTAAGCAAACTCCATGTTGAATCTTCAAGTTAATTTGAAAGTATTCAATTCTCATTCACAGTGAGTTTACTATGGTTACCTTAAGCGGAATATAACTCAACTGATGATCAATGTTATACGGGAGATCAAACATATAATCAAAATCGATGTAAATTAGAAAAGCACGTCGAATCGAAAAGAATCTCTAATTGTGTTTAGATAAGAAATTCAATAAGAAATTGAAAACTAGTCAAGAATCAGTTGATCAAACTCGAATCAATCAGGTCTTGAAATTGTGAGAACCAAATGAAGAGTTTGAAATTAAACCATTCTTTTGATTTCTCTTGTCAAATTAACTAAATCGTTGTAGATATAATAAGAGGAAGATAATATTAATATGAAAAATCCCTTTTAATAAACTAAGATCTCAATAATAATCTCATTTTATTTCTGATAGAAATGGTTTTTGCTGAAAAGTCTAACACTAAAGTATTAGATTCAATAATAGATTCAAAATCAATGGCGGAATGGCCTTAAATTTACTTTCATTTTCAACATTAAATCTAAATATCTTTTCTTAACATCTTTAATCGTCGAAATAATGACTGTTGAAAATATTAGTGCCATTAAAGTGCTAATAACTTACATTGTTAGTTGATCAAAGTAAACATGTTCATATTTGACAATTTAGCAGTTTCTTTGCGAATGAAACATTTTTGTTGATCATTTCGAAGTATTTGTTTCAAACTTGATTCATTTGTAATCTTTTTTGTGTAACTCATGAGCTTAACAGTTAATGATAAATTGTGACCAATTAAAGTACAATTTAAAGTGCAATAAATTACTAAATTGTGTTTTCTCTCTCTTAAAACGCAATTTAAATGCAAATTTTAGCTCAAAAGTCAGCTTAGTCAAGCTTAATTAATCATAATTATCAAATTTATTTTCCTCTTCAACATTGACAATCAACTTGAAACAACGAAACAACGATCAAAACTGTATCATAATTAAGGCTAGAAATTGAACTCAACTGTTCGACTGTTAGATATTTTTCCATGAAACAATTGAAGTTCTTGATGATGATTATGATTAGTTTAATCTTTCATTGATTTTGATCATCATAATGATTGTGATGGAAATCAATAAAAAATAAATCTCAATTTTTCTCTCAACATTTTACTTCTTTCCTCTCATCAATTGAACATTTGCTGAACTCATTATTTAACAATTTCAATCTCATTTGTTTTTCACCCTTTTTTTACCATCATTTATCAATTTTAATTTCACATGAAATACATTCTGATTATCATGGTGATTAGTCAATCAATACAGAGTCAAGTTGAAATCAACTAAAACATCTTTTCATCAGTTTCTTCAACTCTAAACCTTTAACCTCATTTGCTTCAATCCTGCTTCTGTTTCTTACCTTAGCTTTTAATCTTAATTTGTTTCAATCAATCCAATGATTATAATTCAATGTTCAATCAAAAACTGTGTAAATTCAAATGTAAATTCATTTACTTTCATCTTTTAGTGAATAAAGGTTTTGTTTTATTTTTAATTTGCAACCTTTTTGTCTATTTTTTTCAACAAATCAAAGTAAATTCATCAATTTTGAGGATAATTTTACCTCAAAATTATGCATTTTCGGTTATTTCTTGTCTCTTCTTCTGATCACAATTTGATCCAAGTTATTAATCAATTTCGGTTTAAATTAACTCATAATCAATAAGTTTAAAAAAAGCTAATGAATGTTAACTTGAAATATCAAATGTTTGATTGATTGTCTCCGTGAATGTTAATTTGAATTGTCCAAATGATTCAAGTTATTGCAAAATTAGGTTGGATAATGCTTAAATCGATTGGTATTATTGATTAGCTTTTCATTCTTACGCATTTAATAGTCAAACAATGAGATTTATTTTGTAATTTACAGCTACAGTTGACTTTTTTATTGGTCAATTAAATTCGTTATGAAAAGATTGATAGTTCAGGCCGTGAATTTATTGGCGACATTGAAATACAGGTTAATTTGTTCAAGAATTGGTTCAATATTGTGGGTTTTAATCAATCAATTTGGTTGTCTTCAATTTTTAATATGCAACAGAATCAGTCCAGTGTAGCATCAAACAAATCCTTTCCGAGTGTTCATCTTCCATTTGATCTAAAGCGCATTAGACTTTTAGTTTTTAATAATTTAATAGATTAATCGAGATAATTTACAGTGAAGCTTGTAATTATTAAGATCATTTAATGAAAAATTTATTCAATCTTGCTCCATTTCGAAGATGGCGCCTTAAGCTTCATTGTCCGTTTTAATGTGAATTTAAAAATTGATCGTCTGACTTTTGTTTCGGTTTGGATTATCAAAGGTTTAACTGTTATTCCCTCACTGGATTTAATTTGATTCTAAATCAGTGATTTAATCATTTTCGTTTTGATTTGCATGATTGTGTGATTTTCTTTTAAATGTCAAATGAAAAATAAAGAGTCTCTTGGTTCCCACTTGATTTAGGTGCGTCAAGGTAACAATCCAGCTCAAAAGCAGCCTTCTGGATATCAAGCTCAACCTTCATCATCAGCAGTTGATAATGCTAACAATTTATTAGCTTCCCTATCAAGTGGTACTGCTTCCTTAAGCCATGTTATCAGTCCAAATCTCGAATCATTTTATTTTGCACTGCCTTCACCTCAAGAAACAGAGCTTTCTGATCCCGATGGATGTTCATTAACGGTTCCTACTCGTTGGAGATCTTCACGTTGCTCTTGTTCAGCCTCACCGACTCATTCAATGTCAATGGAACTGTATTTAGACCAAAAAGATCCACCAATCAATATCAAGATTATTGAGCAACAAAGGATTCAGGAGCAGTTGATCATTCAACAGCAAATCTTACTGAAGCAACAACAAGATCAATTGCAAAGGTTAATCGAACAAGCCAACCTTGGTCGGACCATTCCTTTTCGTCGGCCAAAGGTATTGGCTTCCATTGAGAGTGATGGATTGTCGTCTACATCATCTTCCAGTGACGATCTTTTTGTGCCCCTTCGACGATCAAGACCATCCTCATCAACAAGTCCTTTTAATAATCAAACTTATCATCATCCTCATCAATCATCATCAGCTCCTCACTATCAACACCACCATCAGCAACTACAACTAGGACCTCAACCTAGATCATCACAAAAGCCTACACCAGCAACAACTTATCAACAGTCAACATCCTCAATGGATAATCATCCATTAATTGGACCTGGACCAACATCGAAAAAACATGACGACGATGAACCTCTAGTGTCGTCTTCATTTGGATTTAGATCGGAACTTTCTTCTGAATTTTCATCTAATGCCAGTGAGCTGGACTCGCCTTTGAATATTGATTTGGATGAAGATTTAACCAAAACACTGGCAAGATTGAGATCACCTATTAAATCGACCTCATTCTCTAGGTCAAAGAGTAAAGGAAAGCACCATGAAGAATCAGAGGAGAAAGAAGATGAACCAGATGCAACCGAATCTACCAGATTGTTACCCTCATCATCAACAGCCAAATCCTCATTGTCTCCAACAATTACGCTTAATCGACCTGATAATTCAAGTTATGATAACACGCCTAATGAAAAATCAAGTTCAGCTGATCCAACAGTAACAAACGATAAACGATTCCCGTTGTTACGTGAAGTCTCTTTAAGTAATGGTTCAGTTCCTAATAGGAAAAGATGATTGTTCATACACTTTAATAGATTCTCAAAGTTTATTATAATTTATTATTTATTGTGATAAAATGCATTGATATAAATGATTAATCAATTCTTAATTTCGTAAGCCTTATTCCTATGAATACAGTTTTTATTCACAATAGAAACTCGTATTATTAATATAATAGTATTAATAATTTAAAATGAAAAAAAATAAAATGTTTCCATGTTTTGAGTGCCTTTGATATTTGACTTGCTATGTACATCATCATCAACACCATCATCTTTAATATCTTCATCACCATTAAAAGCAATCATCAACAATTGAAAGGTAAGTTGACTCTCATAATTTACATCCTGCCATTGATTCAAGATTTCGTGATCTTTTTTTGTTCAAATATGGTTTCACCAAATGATAAAGAAAATTATACTCATTACTCAATAATCTTGATGAATAACTGAAGTTCAGGAAAAGCTAAAAACCTTTTTCACAGATAATTAAGACTATTGATTCAAATCATAAAATTAATCAGTTTAGGCCTTTGACATTGATTACTATGCGATTCACTAGATGGCGTAAAAGTATTGGTTCAAGATTTCTCGCCAATCATTTAAGTCAGTGAATCAGTTTTTTTATTTTGTTTAAGCTTTCAATGAATTAATTTGCTAATCAAATAACCAATTAATTAGATGAAATAAACAGCTGAATTATGTGAAAATTCCCATCAAATTAACATGTAAGTCAACAAAGTCATCGTTTCCTGGTTAACCTCAAAAGTGAAACATTTTGGTTTTTTTGGTTAAATAGTCAGCTGGTTTGGAATCATCTTGATTATTTAAAACAAACAATTGTCAATTTATCCGCAATTTATTTTCTCAGCCTTGTGACAATTATAACCTAAAAGGTTCAATTGACTGTTGATCGGTTAAAGGTGAAAGTTGTCGATTGAAATTAGGCGCAAAAAACAATTGTTTGCATGATTAGGTGATGAATCAATCACTATATGTCAACAGTCTAAATAATGATTGGAAGCAACCGTGTTTTTTTATTGGTACATTTACTTTGATGAAATGCCAATGGCCTTACCTTTTATTATTATTATTATTATTTTATCAAGTGACTTCACCTTCAATTGTCAACAGGAATAACATTGCATCAATGATTTTGGTTTCATCAAATTGACTTGTTTTTCTGGTTACCGGTTGACAAGTTGATTGTAAATTGTTGGTTTAACTTGATGGTCTGTTGATTAGTTTTCACTGTTACAGTAACGCTGTCATAAACAGTCATAAATAATGAAACAAATAACTCTCACTGTCAACCAAATTAAACAATTGATGATATAATTTAAAGAAAATTGAATTGAAAAAATAATCTAACTCTTTGTTACCCGTTTTTTGCCCATTTTCAAATCAGGTTCAAAGTTAAATGGTACAGGAACGTAAACAAATGATTAAACCGTTTCTCACAGTTAATTGCAAGGTAAGATCAACTCAATTAATTAATCATTATTGAATTAGCAAAAGCAAGAATTAAATTCAACTGACAATGCAAATCCCATCTTCAAGATATCGGTACAAATGAGCTTTGAAAACGTAATGAAACCGCAATTTTCGCCCTAATTTTCAAGTCGAAATCTCTTTTCAAGATTCTTACAATTCCTCAACATTTCAATGATAATTAGCAAAAATTTACTTCGATTTTCATTCAATCTCATAACACTTGAACTTACCTATTTTCGTTTCACTTTGAATTCAATTGAAGGTGAACCCATAATAGTAGATGAAATAAGGAAGTTGATGTTCAAGTTTGATATAAAAAATGGCAAATTTAGTCAATTCAACAAAAAGTGATTAGCTTTTGAAAATCAATGGTTGATTCAGATTTTGAATCTAATTCTTGCTTCATCATCTTCATGATTTTGGTTTTGTAATCATTCTGATTATCATCATAAACATGATGATGAAAAAAAGGTTCTCATAGTAATGACATTGCACTAATATGCAAATGATTAACAATTATATTCATTTTCCTTTTTACTTTATTCCTACAGACAATTGGTCAGTCAATGGATGGATATAAATGTATAAATAAGTGTATCAGTTGCTCATCTCATTCAAAACAAACACAAAGTTGCCTAACATTGATTATCACCCAAAACCAATTCAATGTAAACCTCAAAACAAATCGATGTATTAACCCAAAGTCATCAGATTTGTCTAACCAAAGAAACCCAAAAGACCAGAAAAATAAACGGATAATCATTTAAACCGAGAAACAAAGTCTAATCAATTTCAACAAATTTATTTAAAATCTACAAAATTGACTCCGAATTTACCATCAAACCCAGTTGTAAAATAAACCCAAGTGTCTGGTGGTCTTCAGTTTTGACCAAATCACATGAAAATTGTGAAAAATTATAAAAGCTTTAATTATAAAGAATGAATTAATTCAGAGAATGAAGTTTGCAATGTTTGAGCTTTTCGCTGCTGAAAGAAACTCATGTTCATTATCATTAATAGTATCATTATTGAATTTAATTGTAATGGTAGGATCGCTTGGATAAGTCCATTCACTCTTTGTGTTTCTGTTAACAGCAACCAAAAAACAAGGTAACTTTGATTACCATTTCCGTTGACCTTAAATGACCCAAAGAAAAGGTAAAAACAAGACATGAAAAGCGAACCAGAAAAAAAGTTAATTATTCATCAACATGCAAGTTAAAGACAAGAGTTAATTATGGCAATGTAAAATAAGTCAATTAGGAATGTCCAATCATTAAATGGAACCAAATCAATCTTTATTAACAATATAAAAATGGAAATTAATTGTTCCTTAATCACATTAAACGTATGTAGGTGTTTGAATGTTAGGCCTAAAAGAGATTCATTTTTTACTCTCTACTCTCATTGAAACCTTTCAACCTTTTTTTAGATTAACCTTGATCTTGATTTGTATTAAATCTTAATTGCCTTACCTTTTAAAAGATTGATTAATGTTTCACTTGAATCATAAATGTTTACCTTTGAGAGGCAAAAATAAGTAGGAAGAGTTGAATCTCTGGTAAAAGGTAAAAGTTGAACTAAACCTCAATTGTTATAAGAGTCTGGTTGAGGCTGACCAGCAACCAAAAAGTCTCTTCTAGTTTTATTGATGACCACTCAACTTGTCTTGAAACCTGAAACCGGAAAAATTTCAACTGTTTAATCGAAAATGATTGCTTTAAATTGAATGGTTAATACAAAAATGGTTGTATCATTGCAACTGTTATTTATCATTTTACAACCTTTCACTTACCTTTGATGCAACCTATCGATCCATTGAGTTAAACAACTGTTAACGCCTTGATGAGGTCAGTAATTTGAAGCATCTTCAAAGCCATTATGTATCAATAACATAATCATCATATTCAACATCAACTCATCCAAGTCCAATCTTGATATCTTTCATTGAACACCAATAAAACGACTAATAGTCTAACAATTGTTAACCATTTTTACCTTTCATCTAACAGTATTTTCCCTTCTATTTTCTGGTTAAAATTCTGGTTCACTTGAATACCGGTTGAAATGTCTACTTAGCTTTTGTAGGCAACAAAAAATGAAGAGTTATTTTCAAGGAAAAACTTTCTTTCTCTTTTCCTCTCACTTTTCTCACTCAATTGACTCTTCTTCCTCTCTCTCTCTCATCATTATCATCTTGCCTCTTTCATCCTCATTCACATTCAGTATTCAGTTCAGAGTTACCTGTTATTACCGGGCTTTCTTGTTTTCATGTTGGCAATGTTAACTTGTTGAACCTTCTTGGGAACACTTTTTCCACTTTAACCTCAACTTGTATTATATTTTTGATTGTTCAACATTGATTCAGATTCATCTATTTACTTTACCAGTTAACTGAATGCAACTTTTCCTGTTAACCTTTACTTGTGTCACACCATTGAACAACCTGTTTGGATTATGAGTTTGATTTATATCCATATGATTAGATTGATTCTTGGATGAATTTATACTTCTTTGCACCATGGATTATACTTGCCTTCATGATTGCCGTTGTTTTAACAACTCTTTTGGTTGTTCATTTCTTCATAACCCTTTGTTTCATTGAAGACAATCCAGATGATAAATGTGTTCCCAATGTTTCCAAATCTTCCAAAAGGAACCACAAAAATGGTAAGAAGAAAAGGAAAAGACGAAAATCAAAAATTCCTAATAGACTTATGCCAATCAACTCTAGTCGCTTTCACCTTAAAACATAACTCAGTTATTCTCAGTCTTCATGCTTCATCCAGTTTAAACATGATTAACTTATTACATCTTTCAATCAAACCCAATCCTTAACAGCATCAACCCAATAATCCTAACCATTAATCATTTAATCTTGAAAATTAAATCTCAGAATCAAATAATTCCAATTGAAAAACCAAGTCTTGCTGTTGAACCCAAATTTTTAGGTAAATCACTATTTTTACAGAAATGAAATTAAAATCTTAAGCTTACATATTTTAATTGCTGCAATGAACTAATGTTAAACGTTGGTTTTAATTGTCATCATTGTTATTAATAGTAATGAAAGGACATTTGAAGACAATTCAATTAGGTCAACATTAAAAGCGTTTCCTTACATTTTGTTAACTTTATCATTATGAGCAACTTTAAATTGTTGATTATCTTGATGAAGATGCTAATAATTGTCATTATCAATTGTTTCTTATGACAAAAACAAAACAACAATAAACTGTCCTAAATATGTTAACAAAAAGTTGTCACAGCTAATTGAATGAGATGCTTTATGAGGACAATTTGATTGATTGTTACTTTTCAATGTATTTTAATTAAATCAACTGTTAACTGTTTTATCTGGTTTTTTTGCTGCTTTTTCAATCAACTATCGAAGGTGATTTATTGTTTTATTATTTACACTGGATTACCTATTTAATAATGATAGGCTTGTTTTTGTAATTGTTTTTCACCTTCAATTGTAATGCAAAAAGATGATCAAATATCAAAATGATTTACAATTCAATTTAGCTCATCATTTAGGTTTCAATGTTAACCTTTTTCTCTTGTTTTATTGATTGTTAAACCAATGATTTATTAACTGAATCCTTGTTTATTACAATCCAAATGATTTGATACAATTTTCATCTCAACAGCAATCAATTTGAATGTCAAAGTGAAACAATCGTCTGACTCTTCAATTTTGTTATTAACATTGTTTGATTAGCTGTTGGCTAATTGAGTCTTCCCATTCAACTAATATATTTGATCAGTTGAAGAAATTTAATTGTCTCAACTCAACATTTTGTTTTAATAGCATTTTCTGGTTTTCTGGTTTTCTGGTTTTCTGGTTAGAGAAAGCTTTTAGGCTTTAGTCAGACAACTGCTATGAATAGATTGGGATAATTATTGGAGTAAATTTAATTTATTCATTTCGACTGTTGATTCCAGTGAGTTTAATGGTTTACTTATTATTATGTTTCCATTCAGTTGTCTTGTTAACAAAAGCAAACTCAATTTTCAATGTTTATCTTGCAGTCTTGAAACCCGTTCTGAGGTCAGTTCAATATTTCCGTGAGAATTGAGTAAATAACTTTATCGTTGCCATCATAATAATCATTAGGAAAATGATGATTAAGTTAATTTACTTAATCTAATTTGATTCATTGTGATGAACAGAGGTTTTTTCTTACAAAATGAAAAGCCAAGCATCAATTGAAAAACTGCTTTTTCTGGAGCTTCTTTCAACCTCATTATAATTAGAAGATATGAAATTGTTCAAGTTGAGGAAGTAATTTAAATTACAATTTGAATAGATTCAATTGATAAGTTGAAAGCCTTGAAAAATTGTAACTCTTCTCTGATTGTTTCATCTAAATCATTTTTAGATGAATTGTTGCCATATTTAGGTTATTTCTGGTGAATTAATCATCTCACCCATCTGGTAACATAGTAAATTTACATTGAAATGTCTAGTTAGTCTGTGATTAATAAATTTAATTGTAAATCTGGTTCAATGCAAGGTTATTGATGATAAACGATACCTTCAATTGTTTTGCAGTGATTAACTGACTGATATATCATTTAGTTTAATAATTTGGGTGGATTCAGGTTATTATTAACTAAAGCTTTTCCTATTTGGTCTCTTAACCACTTTAACCACTCCTGAAGCAATTAAGAAAATTTAATAACAATTGGAGTTAAACAAAAGTGTCTGAGTTCCTTGGCTATAATTGGAATTAAATTCAATCTAATATTTTACCTTCTTCTTTTAGTTTCAGGTCAATATCATTATAAGTTGCCGTCCAGTTTGTGGCTTAAATGGCCTAAACGGAAAAGATCAACAGAGGAAATTGGATCTTACATAAGATCAAGTTCATATTGTGATTTAAGTGTTACTTCAGCTTCCTATCAACCCTATCCATGGATTCAGCCTGAAATGTATCAGCAATCTGCCCATGGGTCTAATGAACACACGGTAGATGGATTGAGGAAACATTCAAGTTTTGATAGTTTAACGACAACCACAACTGATACAGATTTTTACCGAGACTGGAGGCATTCAATTGAATTTGGTGATTTCACTGAATATTTCAATACCAATGTTGATCCCAAGTACAAAGATAACAACCAAAATGTCATCTACATTTAAATTATTACCTTTATATTAATATATAAATATACATATAAATAATATATTTCTAAATTAATCAATTCTAACAATGTAACAACTAAATGATACTTCAGTTATGCTGTGTTCATCTTGGACCATTTCAAATGGAAGTGGCACGTTCATCACAATCCAAAGTGCAATGTTGATAAACTAACTTTGTAACAAGTAAATATGTTATCCAATCAAATAAATCAAATAATCAGATGTTGGAATATATTTTGGAAAAGATTTAATCATTTTTCCTTCCTTTCCCTAAATTATTGTACAATAACAATTGAACTCTTTTTTTTCCAAATAAACCATGAATTCAATGATAATCAAATCGTTGGGGATTCCACCATTCTTTTATTCCATGAATTCATTCATTGATTATACAGCATTTGCTTTTCTGTTGGCATTCATCGCCAAAGAGTACATCGTTCATCAAAAGCCATTGGAGATGAAGATTGACACTGAAAAGCTCGAGCAAAATCCTGAGAGTTTCTTAAAGGGCCAAGAACACGAATCTTTTCAGGACTGTGACGGGATTGACCACGAACTTGTTCATTCTCCGTTGTCTGGTTCGTACACCAAATCTATGGAAACAAAAAAGCAACAATTAAAAGGATAATTCAAGTGAAAAGATGAAATTTATTTATAAAGCCATTTCAAGAATTCAATTGCAACCAGTTTAGTAGACTTTGTTACCACTAGATGCTGCTAGCTATTTCATCTCATTTTATTTGATGAAAACTTTTCAAGAGTTATGATTGAAATCAATTTAAATCAACAAAATCAATTAAAACAGAAACATGTTTAGAATGATTTGATATAATCAATAATGAAAGTCTAACTATTGAAGGTGATTGCAGTTTGTTTAGCAAACAATTTCATCTCAAATTAATCAAGTTGAAGGGGAAATCAGTTCAGTAGTTGATGTGATAAAGTCATGAATTCTGTGAATAGAATCAATGGAAATGTTGAAGCAATCATGAAGCTAGAGAAGGAAAAAATCAAATAAAACTAATCAAGGAATGAAAAACAAAAGACAAAACTAACAAACGAAAAGTGAAGGTAAAACTTTTGTCCATTGACCAAGGATTTGATGAAATACTTTTGTCTGATCTACAATTGACAAGTTAACCTGCTTTACGGATGAAACATGAAAAGAGTCGCAAAAACTATTGTTTTGTTTCTATTTATTATATTATTCATTCTTATCTTCCCATTAAGTCCTTTAATCATCCATTCACTTCTTTTGGGAATAAACAAGTGAGTCTAACGAAGGTGAAAAATAGAGGAAAGTGGTGAAGGGTGATGAGGATGAAGATAAGAGTCAAAATGATTCTGGATTGGAGGTTGAAAGAAGATGGTAAAAGTTATCTTTCGACTTTGTTTTGGTCTTTGGTGAGAGGAAAAACATAATTATAAGATTATATGGACTTTCAATCGATGAAGAGTTAACAGGATGATGGCGAAACAATAACAGGGAACAAAACAAAAGAAGGCAAAAAATGACCAGTTAGTTGGTCATTTGGTTATTTACTTGTTAATTCCTGTAAATAAAAAAGGCCATAACAATCATTTCTTGAGAAGATGTTAGAGGATGAAGCAAAGTAAAGGCATTATAACTGGAACCTAGTGAATATATTGTAACAAAAATAATAATCTCAACACTTTGAATTAACTTAACAGCAAAGAGGAAAATGTTCAGATGATAATCAAGATGATAATGATGATTATGATGGAGGAAGGAAGAGAGCAAAGTAAATAAAGATTGATCAATTACCTGAGCAAAAGAAAGGAAAAATAACTGTTCAGGAGTGAATTTAATCAATTCTGGAGGCAAATAATGATTTGTGTCAGTTGAGTGTTTCAATTGATTGTAACCTGTTTCAAGAAAAAAGCAAATGAAAAAAATATTAGTTAATTGCAGACGAAATTTTGTTTCCCTTTAAATCAACAATCATTTCAACAATAGACTATCGAGATGTGGAACCAGAGAAGCATCAGAATATTTGAGATTCAGTCAACTTGTCATGTTTTTAGAGTCACCTTTAAGGATACTTTTGCTCGAAGAAAATAATGACTTTTTTGTCAATTTTTGGGAATCAAAGTTTGCTTTGAACGCTGAAAAGGCCAACTCCAATCCAACAGTATCAGCAATATTTTCACTCAATGTCATGATGCTATTTGCTCCATTTGTACTTCCAATTAACTGGGAATATTGATCGAGAAAACAACTGGATTTGGTCAGATAAGTTTGAAATGTACTGTTTGACCACCAATTCCGAAGGTTGCCATATTTATCGAATCGTTTACCTAAGAAAAATGAAAAAATTAAGATTAATAAGAGTGAATTATATGACAAAAATGGTAAAATTACATTAGATGTAAGTCTAGGAATGTTTGAATAATATTACTGAAGTTGACGGAAAATTCATCTTCAAAACATCATTTGACATTTTTTGAGCAAATTTTTCATAATTATTGTCACAATTTATTCAAAATCAACATTCATTTGCAAAACGAAAGTCTTATTTTCATGCATTTCTGTACCGCAAAAGGTTAAAATTTTCATATATTTATGGTTTCATGTTCAAACTCTAGTAATTTCATTGAAACCATTTTTCTATTATCGATTACCAATCAACAGCTATTCATCTGTCCAAGCATATTAAGCAGAAACTTGAAATTGACTAAAAAAAAGATACATTCAAAAGTTATTTATTAATAGCTATTCAATGGTTTACTTCATGCTGATAACATGAACAATTATGAACATATTATCAATAATACATTCTGTCAATTCTGTTTGAAAAGCTTTTCCGTTAACCAAAAATTTTGCTATTCAATGAGCTCATTAAGAGTTAATATATTCATCATGGTTTACGATTAATCATGTTTCCCTTTATTTAAGAAATGAATATGAAGATGGATTTTTTGAATAAAAGTGTGAAACAAATTATTGATACTCACAATGTTTCATTTCAAAGATAACATGGAGAAATGATGAATAATATTCAAAAAGTGATGGATTCGTCAAAATTGAAAGACAATGAATAGTTCAAAATTATTGCTATTTTCATCACAATTGTGATTTCCATTGATTTTTACTATTAAAAGATAATAAAAATTTTTACTAAATTAAGTTAGAAAATCATTTTCTTTGGATTCAGAAGCAAATTGCTTGAATCTTGCTAACAGCTTAACCAGTCAATATCAAAGTTTAAAAATTAATCAAGTTAATAATGGATACATTAATCCATCATTAATTTAATTGATTTTGATTTACAAAATATTAACATCATTAGGATGATTTGATTCGTGAAAAAGTATCCAAACATTGATCTTTTAGAGTACAATGAGTGAAAAAATGGAAGCATTTGAGTTTCAATGGATATGCTTTTGTTTCAATTGTAATAGAGTTACAAATATGTACTTTGTAATGTATTTTGTAATGAATGGAGTAAAAATGGATAAATAAGGATGAAATGGATGATAAAGATGAAGGAAATAAGATAAAAAAAAGGAGAAACAAAACGGTTAAATTGAAGAGATGAATTGTTTAATACAAAAAGTAACAAATATCTTCTTCCTTTGATATCTAATGATGTTGTTGTGAAGATTTCCAGGTTATACCTTTCCTGGTTATCTGTCAGAAAATTTTCAAATCTCTGTTGTCTTCAGTTTTCTGAGTAAGCTTCAATCATACATCAAACCTTTTTTTTCTGCTTCCTGAGTAATATTAACACCAGACCATCATCATCTTCATTCCTTACACTCTGAATGCTGTCATTTCCAGGTAAGAAGAAAAGTAGAGAACTTCAATTTAAGGTTCAATACTTTTCCATTTTAACATTTGTATATTAAAAATAAAGAGCAAAAGAATCATGGAATCAGCTGAATGAAGAGAAAATTTATAAAATTTCATTTCATGCAATCGTTTTCTTCTTCTTTTTCCCTGTTAATACACTTTTCAATCTGGTAAAATTACAAGTTAATTTAACACATTGCTGTTTACCTCGAGGCAAGAAAAGGTGTAGTTTTGTAGGTTGAAGAGGGTCAACTCAAACTGTTTTTCATTGAGGTTCAACTTTTGTTCATTTAATAGAACCATTGTTAAATTATAGTTATCTCAACAATTGATTGTTACAAAATGCTGTAAATGATTACATCTTTTCGTGATAAAATTAAGTGAATTAATGAAAAAAGTGTTCAAAATATATTTCATATTGAGTTTCACAATTTATCCTTTTTCTCATGTAAAAATCCTTTTTATGCCAAAATATTTTTATTACATTTCTTTTCACTTTCTTTTCCCTTCTTTTTGCTATACAATTGTTGAAAATTTTTTCCAGAACAGAAGCTCTTTCTAAATGATAGCAATTTATTGTAATATCTAACTGATAATGTAACACAGTAATTGTCAGTAGATTATTCAATAGTCCCTCAAACCCTTTGTTTACGGTCTCACTCGTCTTCTTATTGATCATTATCGTTGGTCAAGTTTCTTTTGTAGCTTGAGTTGGTTCAATTTTAGTCTGTGTCATCTCAATTCAACATGTTATCTCAATTTTTAACTTTTATTTTCACAATTCTTGTCTCTATCCAGCTATCGTCGTGGACTGGTGAAAAGGAAGAACCATTGACAGAAGAAGCAATGGAAAGAATTTTGAGAATGAAGAACCAAATTGATCGCCAAAAGTGCTAATAGAACGGAATGATTTTGACCAAGAGCTCCTTATGAATTTTTAGGTTATAAAAATGAAAATCAGTCTACGAGTGTAGGTTCAGTTGAACCAACAATGACTGGTATAAATGTGCGCGAAATATTCGATGGCATATACCAAGGCATTCGATGAACATTCAGAAGAGGAGTCTTCCAAGTCTCTTAACTCTGAAATGGAGATTAAATCGATACCAACAAGTTCTAACTCTTCGGACTATGCTTCTTCAATGTGAATCAAATACAGATTTAAAATCAACACCGAACATTTTCTGAAAGCGAAAGCCAGGCAATTCAACGAAACTTATTCCGCCAGAATTCCCTTATTTTTCTTATCAAAGATGTAAGTTCATCGATCGATGAGGAAAAGGAGCCCACACCAACTGACCAACCAATTGAAAGAAAAGATAAAGAAATTTCATGTATCTCGCAGTGTCATCAATCACACAGTCAGCTATGATAATCATAACAGTAGTCGGAGACTTTTACTGATCTAAATCGATCTCCATTTATACAGGCAAACACCAAGATTAAAACAATTTTTCAACATCCAACGATACAATGATGAGCACAACTGAAATGGCTGGATCCATGTCTAACGGTACAACGCCATAAGTCAACTTTGGTTCATTTGTTAATTCGGGTTCAACCGGTAATCGATTAAAAGATTTACTCACCGTCACTGTCAAAGGCATGGATAATCTCATGTCCAATTATCCAACCGATTCCACCATAGTTCAGGGCTGGAGGCAATCCATAAGTGTAAAGAGGATTTTGGAGTAAGGCTGCAGGAAAAGCTGACAGAGAGGTTGAAGCTTAAGCTTTAAATAATCATCGACAAAATAAAGTCTAATCAGGGATGAGATTAGATATTAAGAAATGTTATCTATTCATAGACAGCGTCAGAATCAGGATTAACCAGCGCCAAATTGAGATTACTTTTTTTCTTCTTCAATTTAGTCTAACTTTTTTTTCACAAAGTGATAAACTTCCCTCTTCTTTATGCAGTTGTATGATAACAGGTAAATTAGTGATTAATCAATTGAAAAACTCACAGAGAAGGTTACGGCGAAGATAATTGTAAGCATTTACATCGGTTGGTGACATTACATGCCTAAAGGAAACAGATAAAACAGAACTGATTAGAAGATTGAAATGAATTACAATTTGATAAAATTAATAGCAGTTGTTAGGACGTTGGGAAAGCTAAGCAAATATAATTTCAACCCTTTCATTGGATGCCATTGTTTTCAAATTCGTTAACTGTTACTGGGAAAATTTTTATAATGTTTATTGAAATGGTTTGTTCGGTTCATCAGCTGAGTTGAGAAAATTGATTCACATTTCTCAATTTGGGTTTAAACCGTGTTTTACCTTGTACTGACAATTAAATTGTCAAGTTAGTTTAGTTTAATCATTCAATTGAATGATTTGAAGATCATTTTTAAAACATCAATTTTGTTTATATTATGGGTAAAACAGATTGTACAAATTGATAGGAAAGAGGTTAAAGCTTTTGATGATAAATATATACCTAAATAGATAAACATTATCATTGAGAAACCATTAAAATGGTGTAAAACTTGAATTTTTTATTTCGCATTTTGCTATTGTTGAATGAAAATGGGTAAACTGATATAATAGACTGGGAATGAAAATGGTCTTTTATATGGAAACCATTGGATAAAATTGGATTCAAGATTTAATGGTAACCCAAATGAGAAAAAAATTATCCTAGTTAAATCCTATTGGTGACAGAATAAAAGGAAACAAAAAGATTCAATCATTTTCCTAGACATCTCTGACTATTCAACACCATTATTGAACTGAGAATGAATAAAATGATTGATATCTATTAGCAGTAACAATGAAATGAAACAATGATACATTGGTGATGTGTTTTAATTGACTTTTTAACTCACATTTGCTCTCGTCCAATCATCTGATTGAGTTCAGAAAATTCACGAAACGTTTTTGCTTTATCCATGAGTAAAATATCATCTAAAAGATCCTCTGAGCGCATATTTTCAATCTCAAAATAATAACGTTCCAGCTGTGAATTGTCTTTAATCCAATCTTGATAACCAACGATATCGATCATATGTGATAGCTAGAGGAATCAAAAAATCAGATAGATTAAAGATAATCACTAGATGAAAGATCAATTGTGAGTTAACTTGTTACCTTGTCAAGAGCTTCTAGTTTAGTTGAAGCATCAAGCCAATTGCTATCCTCCAATTGGAATCGTAACTGTCTTTTAGTTTCACCAATCAATTTTAACAAATCATCTCGAGCTTTCTCATTGAAATAATTATCAATATACAAGCGTCCAATGATGAAAGGTAATCTACTTGAAATCATGTCGTAACAAAATTCCCATCGCTCGGGTTGCTGTTGAACACCAAGAAAAGTCCGATCAAATTGGAATCTTAAATCCCGAATTTCTTCTGATGAATAAACTCCATAATGTTCAGCAACTCGCCAACCAAGATAATTGGCAATCACTCTAATAGATGAAAATGAAAAGATTGTAACTTTTGTTGAAATTGCATATGAATAATGGGTTAGCTTTTGAGTTGTGATTAAGGAATGGTTAAACTTGCCGTTTTGGTGTTTTCCTAATAACATCACCTAAATGAAGGTAATAATTGTGGTCATTGATATAGATGGTCATTTCAGATGACATAGGAATATTGTTTGCGGTGAAAATTTGTTTTATCAATGAAAACCATCTAATCTACGACAAAATAAGGCAAGAAATATTATAGACAAGTTAAATTGTTGATGATGATAAAGTGGTAAATCATTCAAAAAATATTGACATTAGCAGAATATAAAATTGCAGCTTTCAACATAAATTGATTAAGCACTAGTAAATTGCCATTTTAAAGTGGTTAACAGAACTAAATTGGGTCAATCTTCAAGAAATAGCTACAATGAAAAACATAATTGCAGTCAATTTATCTAACATTGGCTGTTGATAATCTGATGTAACTCAAGTCTACACTAGCAAAATAAATAAAATAGACAAGTTTTCAACAATAATTAGTCTTATGGGACAAATCAATGGTGAAAAGATCTGCTTTGAGATCTTTATTCTGACATCATTAACAGTGTTAATTAATGTTTCATTTTTTATGAACACCTGATTGAATCCTCTTAAGATATAACTACCATGTTACTGTTAATTTAGCTCCACAAGATTCCTTAATACAAATATCAAACCTTGGGATAATGATTAGCCAATTGAGATACTTGGATTGATCGCTGAACTTTACTGTCCATATCAGTTGTGATCTCCATTAAACTAGCTTCAAAGGTCATTATACGATTTATCTCATTGGACCATTGCTTTTCATTGACACCTTCATCAGCCACCAATCGAGACAGTGACTCGATATACCAACGGTAGGGATTCAATTGGCGTGATTGAAGTCTCATGTTGTTTGTGTAACTGGACAAGTATTTACGTTCAACACCAAATGAAGGAGAGTCCAGCTAGAAGTTGAGGAAAAGAAAGGAAAAGTTGAGGTTAGAATGAAAATAATCAATAATAAAACAATCAAGAAACCGATTGAGAATAAACATTCATTTTTTTCTTAAATATTACAATCAAAATTATTTCTAAATATTTAGACAAGCTACATCATTTCAATTTTGATTTCCATGTCAATCTACTGATAATGCAGGTATTGAAAGAATCAGGATTGACAAGAAAAAGTGAAAACATTATTTACTCTGGGAGTGACACTGAGATTCATGATAAGCTATTAATGTGTCAATATTGGTTGGTTTTAAATATAACTTTTCTTCTGTTAAATTTTAAACTTGTGAGTGAAAATAAAAACAACTTATTCTTAAGAAATGCTTGAGGCAAGGAAAGGCTAACAAGGAGATGATGAGGATGTAAAGTGAAAAAGCTATTAACATGTTAGCTTGAAAATGTGAAGAGAAAATCTTTTATCAAAAAGAAATGCTTTATTTAAACATTTTTATGCAGCTTCTTTTTTTACTGCATCTCACAGGTAAACTTACTTGTTAATATGTTTTTGCTTTTCTATGTAAATGTGATGATTTGATTGATTCAAAGTATACTGACAAATTGGCCCAAAATCATGAACAGAACACATGTAATGCAAACAAATTTCCTTTCTGCTTACAGGTTTTAAATCTTTTTCAACCTAAGATTATGTCAATGTTCTTGATCGAAACACAGACAAACAATGCCAATAATAACTAAATTGTTAGCATTGTTAAAGATTTTTACTCACCAGTAAATATGTTTGAAGTTTATCTCCTTGTCCTTCAGTGAATAAATAAATTCCAAATATCCAATTAAGGCCGTACATTGTACGTAACAAGATGGATGTATTTTCAGGCTCAAATCTATTAGAGTCCCATTTAGATTGAACCATTGGCCAACCTCCTATCCGTTTGATTAACCTTTTCAATGATTTGTAGCCAATGGTTGATTCTGTAATTAAGGTATAAACATGAGTTAGATGATCAAAAATATCAAAGCAACTAACCTTTATCCAAACATCTTTCATAAATGTTGATTGCAGTTGAATATGGAGTCCAAGTCAAATTTTTTTCATTTTTAGCTTCAAACAAGGCTAACAGTGAAACATTGAAAGACACAAAATAGCAAAAATATTAACTCAACATAGATGAGAAATTCAGAATTTTCACATAAAATAAGCTCATGAAACATTTGAATAAGATTTAAAAGATTCACAAATAAGTAAAAAGTAAAGTTAAAATGGCCGTTATATTTGTCTTTTAAGATTGATCTCTTACGCCATCAGCAATTTTTCTTTGTCTTTCTCTGTCTTTTATTTTCTCTTTCGCTTTTTCTTTCTAATTTATGACCGGTTAAATTCAATTAGCAGAAGACAAAAGATAAAAGGATAAGACAAAAGATAAGCTTAAAGTCTATATACAATTTTGTAATTTTGCATAAATCGTTTGTAATGCGTTTTACTTTCAATGAAAACCAGAGTTTCAATTGTAATTTATTCCCTGATTTTCGTGTCTTAATTCTTTACTAATTAGTGATTGTTCCGTATTTGATTTGGAAATGAAGGTGAGTAAATAAATTTACAAACCCTTTATCTGTCTTTTAACACGAATCTCCAATTTATCCAATGGAGACCATTTTAATCTATCTGTTGGCAATGGATTTGTCTTTAACCAATTTCCACAAGCAAATTGATAGAAATCTTGACAAGGATCGATTTTATCATCAATCGATTCCAATATCCGGTGAGCTTTTAAAATGAAACAAAAAGAGGAGAAAAAGATGAAAAAGGATGGAAAAAAAGAGATGAAAAAAAAGAAATATTAAAGGATTGAAGTGAAACTTGTTCTTCTACTTTCCAAAAAAGCAACTTTTTTCGTTATTGTGCTTCTGTTTGTTTTCATTTAACCAATTTGACGACAAACTTGGGACAAATTAAAACTCCTTCTCATCCTTTTCATCCTTCTACATCCCTTGACTTGCCTCCTCATCATCTTCATTTTCATCTGGAGTAAAATTGTGTGAAGATGATGAGACAAGATGAAAAAAAACTCAGGATGAAACTTGAGAGACTTTATATTCTCATGAGTTTCACCTAATTTAACCTTCTATTATCGTCAATGTAAAGGTTATTAAGAAGTTTTTACCTCTTCGATCTTAAACCTTTTTCACCCTTCCTTATTATTAGTAGTATTAGTGTTATTATTTTTTCATTGAAATAATTTCTCTTTTCAGGGAGAAGAAAAATGAGATAAAACTTACAGAATCTGTTTAAATTCTCACAATTGAACATCATGAACTGTTTTTATCTGTCATTTTATTTCAACCTTTTAACAAGTGATTCTTTCAGTTAATTTCCCGCAGGGAATCAAGTAGCTATCGAACAGAAGAGGCAGAAAAAAATTGTATTAACCATTTTGTTTTCTTGAGTAAATTAAATATTAAAATACCTGTAAGATATACCTTATTTGTTTTTAATATATTTTTTACATGATTCAATGGGGAAAACACTTAAAATTAACTTTGTTGTTTCCTCAACTATGAATATTAAATTATGAATGTTAATCAAAGTACAAATTATATTAATAATTCAATCTCATTACAGTTAACTCTTGGTGCGGTTGGTAAACTTACCTTCAGATACACAAAGTGGAGATCGGCAGACATTGTCTTTGGTTGTATTACTAATTGTTGATTCACCTTTATGTTAACAATCAAATAAAACAAGGAGAATGGTTTAAGTTTAATTCAGCTGGTTGATGGACACAATTAGCAAACCTTTGGATTTAGATGATTGAGCGAAAAAAAATGTTACAAACGGCGAAACTGCGAGTAAACTAAGGATAACGTAAGATGTTGTTGCAACAGGCATTTAGAGTTAAACAAGACACTGGACTAAATTAAATAAAATCAATAAATTACTAATTAAATAAAATAAATTAAATATTGAGATGAAACTAAAATTAAATTAAATAAACACATTGGTATAAGGAGGGTCAACTAATGTGAAAACAATCAAAAGATCATCTGTTAATGTATAAATAAATCGGGCTTGGCTCCAATCAACTCAATATTGGATTAATGTACAGATTGTGGGGAAACAATGGGTTGAACAATTTGAATTGTTGAGGCTATTTTGGGTTCAGATTGTGTTGATTTGATCTGGTAACAGCATTTATGGTTAAATGATACAATTGTACGCCACACTACCGTCCGTTTGACAATTTCACAGAGAAAGTGATGATGGTGAAGCCAAGAAGAGAGCAATTGAATAGTTTAGTTGAATTGATTGGGTTTGGATTGCTTTCAATTGTTCAATAGTCTTGACTTATGATTGGTAAATGTTAGATTAACTTGTAATCTGTGATAAAACGTTGTTTTCAAGTGGTTTTAAGATGTCGTCGAGTGGATAACATTTACGAGTGATGAACCTGATAATCTTAATGACATCAATTTTGTCATCATCTTTGATCAAATTGGACATTCTTCATAATTTTCTCATAACAACCATCAGACAGTCAGTTATCAAAGCCTAACTATTTACATTGGTTGATTCACAGTTTGTCAGTAACTTTTGTAAGGTTTACGATACAATTGACTTGACCAATGAAATCGTATTAGATTGAATGAGAATTGACAGTCCTCCTTGTGATTCCAATTGTTTCCATTTTTCCACCCATTATTAGAATCAAGATGATGATGATGATTAAAGACAAGTGATCAAGGTAAATAAATAATGATGTACAAAACACCAAAACAACAGCTAACCACAAAAATAACCTGGTAAAGAAAAAGTAATATTTTGTAGTTTTCCATTCTCAAAGATTTGTTTTGTTAGTAAAAATGGAATCGATTTTATGATGTATATATACTCACCCAATACAAAATAATATAAATTCACATGAAAAGAAGATTGAATGATGATATTGAAAAGAAACCTTGATGGTGATAGTGAATCTTTTAGCCCAAAAAAAGTAGAAGGTTTTATCAATTGTTATCCAATGTAATCCTGTTGGTCTTCAAATACTAGACACACAATTCTGGTTCATGTTTTCCATCTCCATTTGTTACCTTTTTTTAAAACAACAAAATATAAATTTCACTTATCCTTTTCCAGACTGCAACTAATTGAAAGTAAAAATGTAATTAAAAATTTCAAATGTTGACGAAAAATTAGTTGAAAGTTACATTTAATTAACCTAACCTCCAATACATAATCACATGCAAAAAGAGCGGTATCTTTAAGGGGTCTTTACCCAATTACATCCAGTAAATTGGGTTTTCTGCATTTTAACAGTTAACATCTGATTAATTTATTTCATGAAAACCATGATATGATTATATGGAAGCAAATATGGGAAAAACCTGAAAATGAAAAGAAAAGATAATAAACTGAAAATAAATGACAAATAACCTGGAAGATGTTAATATATTGAAAAAGCAACAAGTTTCTTTATGAGAATATATTATTCATTATCTAAAAGTTGTAAAGGTAAAGTTATCATGTTCAAGTACAATGAATATTGAAACTGATAATAAAAGTACACCAATCATAATCAATCAAACGTTATTGATAGGTTAACCTAAAAGCCAAAACCTAAAAACCAGAAAAAAGAGCAAAAATATAAAATACAAAAAGGTGAAAACAAAATACTAAACATTGACTTTTTGTCCAGCAAAATTGATTCAATTGCTCAAAGTAGTGTCTAATTAAACCCAATCAACTGACCTAAAAGGGTAAATTAAAAAGGTAAAACAAAAGGTTAAATGTTAACCAGGAAAAGGTTGAAAAGTAGAAAGAAAATGGTAAATAAATGAAATTTTGATATTCAAAGACTATTCATGATCTTTCCATCATTTCAGTCTTAAATCATTCTTTGGGTCATTCTTAGGACTTAACACTGACAAATGGATTCTGGTGATGATCAGATGAAGACAAACATGAATATAAGTGTGAAGATAGACTTGAAGATAAGAATGAAGATGAATCACAAAAAGAAGGTAATATTCACTCCCAGCATTCTTAGCATGTTACTATTTCTTGGCCATCATCCTCCTTCAAAATCATCCTTTTTCATCTTCTCTCTCTCTTTTCTTGCCACCTAATATCGATCAATATCTTTCCAATGAAACACCTCGAGAAGCACAAGTCTGATCATCCAAAAGCATTCACTTTTTCACTCCCTTCTCATCCCTATCATCTCATGTTTATCATTTATCCGAGTTCAGTTGTTGAGCCAACTTGAGACAGTCAATTTGATTTGAAAATTAACTTGCAAACAACTTTACAAGTTTGAGTGAAAACATTGAAAAGTAAAATTTGCAAAAGTTAAACAATTGTTACAGTAAAGAGGACTTTTTGTTTGGTCAGTTCCAAATGTTGTCCAGTTGAATGTTGATTCTGGTAAACAAATTGCTTATTCAAAGGATAACTTTTGGACTCAAATGATTAAACGTAAATGTCACTGTTATGTATCTATTATCATCTATCAACGATTATATTTTTACTAGGTAAGTCCACCTTCAATTGTTGCCTTTTTTAAGACAAATTATTTTCATCAAACCTTTTCTCAATCGTTAAATTGTTGATTAAATTGTTGTTTAGACAATCTGATTTCATTTAGTTGAACATTTGTTTGTATTACAATTGATTTCAAGTGGATTTGTAGCAACATTTTGTTTCTACCTTTTTGTGTCTTTTTGTGTCTAACTTTGTCAATTGTTGATTAGCAACTATTTGATCAAATTGTCAACTTGATCATTTATTCATGCTGATTCAAATAGTGTCACTGATTGTTATCGGAAATACAATTTGTAATAAAAGTTGCCTTCCATTTAGCCTTCCCTGGTAATCATAACCAAATAAAGTGAAACAAAAATAAGTGTTAAGTGAATAAACCAGTTTCGGTTAAGGGTTGTTAATGGTTCTCATTATGATTATCATAATAGAAACAGTTGATTGTTGATTAAGATTTAGTATCAATTCTGTAAATGGTGAAACTAAATTGGATTATCAGGGAAAGAAAGCTGAATAACATGTAAATGTTTGAAACCATTTGAATGGGGAAACATTGATAATAAGATAATGAAAAGGATGGAAATGATGATGAGTTGAGATTCATTTTAGTCATTTACTGGAGACGATTCAGTTAACCAGTTAATCCAGTTAATTCTTATTCACAATTAGATTGGTTGCTTGGTTGATTAAAGTGATTAAATGTAGACTAAGTTATAACCATTCAGTGATTCACATTTGGATTGAAATGAAATTACAAACTTAATTGAAACATTATTTTAAAATGAATTGTTCATTGTTCAACCTTTTGGAATCAAGCTAATGATAAATGTTGAAAAAACAAACAAACAATTCTGATTATCCTGAAGGTAAAGTGTGATTGACAACAATTTCAATTTATCACGTCTTTCCGTTCATATTAAATGTTATCCGTTCATTCACTATTCATTATTTATCTGCAAAATTGAGGTTCCTAGTTTCAATAAACTCAGATTATAACCCTTTAAGGCATTCTTGGTAAACAACTCAAGTCTTCACTTTTTTTTATCAATTATATTGTTATACAGATCAGTTTAACTTCTTAAAGATGAGACTTGCTATTTAAGATGATTGATGATCCAAGATTAATGATTAATTGCCTCAAGCTAATCTAATGTCATTCATTAATCTGTTTGTATTTAATGTTGTTCAACCCTTTTTTAAACCAGATTACTGTGATTGCCTTCAATTGAAAAAAATGATTGTTCCTGGACCTTGTCTCAATGGTTCCTCCCTTTGGTTACAGTGCAACTATGATCTTAGTTTACATGAAACCTTATATTCGGTTAAATGGTACAAAAATAGTCTTGAATTTTATCGCTACTCATTAATTAATGATGATAATTCCAATTCTCATGAGTTTATTTCATCGGCAAATCGGATGAAAAAATATTTCCCTCAACAAGGAATCCAAGTTGATGTAAGTTGCGATCCCAACCTCAACCCGATTCTCATTTTGTTTCATTGTCTTATTTTAATCGCTGCTATTAACATAACCATTCATTGATTACTTGATTGTTGATTATGAATTTAAGAAACAGAATTGGAAAGATCATTAAAACCACATTTAGATTTGTGAAAACCCGAAATAATTCTGGTTAAATTGTGGGAAAAGAAACCGTATTTTAGGTTGAAAAGCTAAAACCAAAGATAAACCAGGATTTTTTGCTAAATATTGAAGTTCTGATCCTCAAGATTCTCATTGAAATCAACACTAAATTCACTTCAATTCACTTAATCAAGATTTCAATATTGGTTGAAAGATTTTGAGATTTAGATTCTGGTTTTAATTTTTTAAACCCAAATTTGATTTGTTTGTCACAATTCATTAATTATTACAGATGTTTTTTGCCTAAATCTCATTGCTTTTTATTTCTGGTTGCAAATGCTCTTTTCATTTCTAATTGTTATCTATGGTTATGTCTTGTCATTATCACTATTAATCTGTTTTATTTCCTTCCAGTTGATCATTAAAAATTAAAACTAAATATTATTTATGTTTCATATAAAAGTCAAATACAATTATAATCATATTTAATCTTTTCTTGCTCTTCTATGGTAGAGTAGCGGATAATGAGAATACCTTTATTTTGCTTGCTTATTTTGCTTGTCTTGTTATCCGTTTTTACAGTTATTAATGATTAGCTAAAGGTGCAACAATTATTGATTTGTCCAACATTAGATTAATCAATCAAATGGAAGCCATGTTTACCTTAATTCAATTGATTTGGACGGTGAAGGAACTTATGGTTGTGAGGTTTCAACTGAAGATACAAATGGCTCTTTTAAAAGTGTCAAAGCTGAAAAAGATCTTCGAGTTTTTGGTAAGTATTATATTAATTTACATACTCTTTGTACCTCCTAACCTTTTGTCTAACCCATGATAAAAATTCTTGAGTTTATTCAATTTTTCTCAATTTAATTTACACTTTACCAAATAACTATTATTTACTGTCACTTTTAACCCAAAAGATACAACTCACATTTAAATATCAGCCTCTTAGTAACCCACCAATCATCGTCAATTCATCTCCATAGAGATTTGTCTCTATTACCATTTCATTATTTTACTTTTTTTATTTTCCGTTGTTTTTATAAGCTTTTTTTCTGGTTGTTTCTGGTACTTTTACTTTCAACCAAATTATTTTATCAATTAATTATGTATTTTTTTTATTGATTTTGCCCTTTTTCTGTGTCTTATTAGTTCTGCCTCAGTCCAAATTAAAAATAATTGGAACCAAAGATTGGTACTCAATTGGGGAACAAGTAAACATCAGTTGTATCTCTGGTCCTTCAAAGCCTCCAACTATATTAGCTTTGTTTATTAACGGTAATCGGGTAAGTTGTACTTGATGTGTCTTTTTTTCTGCTGATTATTTAATTTCCAACTGATTGTCAATGTTGATCGACATGATGATGATGCTAATATGATGATACATATTGTTGATTTTTGTGTGTTTCACTCTTCAACAAATGTTTTCTCAATCTTTTTGTGCATTGTCAATGTGAGATCAATATTGGCTGAGACAAAAAAAAACTAACTTGTTTGACTGAAGATGGTGATGATATTATCATTTTTGTCTGATTAATATAATATAATAAGGAAAGCAAATTATGTTAACAGACAAACTGAAAGAAGGAGAAATATTAATCTCATTATCATCTTCTGCATGTTGATGATGAGAAAGAAAGAGGTGAAGATGATGAAGATGAAGATTTAAGATGATTATTGGCGATGATGATAAAGATATGTACACATATTGAATATTTATTTACCTAGAGCATTATTATTAGCTTTAAGTCAATGGGAATAACATTATGTGACATACAAAAAAGGAGAAGGAATTATTGGAAATGAACATTCTTTTTCTGGTTAATTTACATTACAAGATGTAACAAAAGATAATTAGCTTAGTAAACTTAGTCTTCATCATCTTCCAGCCTTAATCATCATCAATTGTCTTCTTATTCATCTATTAACCCCATAAGTTTGGATAATAACTCTCCACAATTATGGAGAAATGATGAAATGATTGAAACTCAAATCAAATTGAGCCCAGAAATACAAATGAATATTGAATGGTGAGATGTTTATTTTCAGTTTGTTAATTAAGCTCTTGAATATCAGCATAATTTGTGTTCGTGAGCTGAATTTGATTTTGACATTACCTTTAGTCGTATTACCTATCTGAATTGCTCTAATTTGGTTGTTAATTTCCATTAAATCTTAAATCCGTTGACTTTTATTTCAACATTTACTGTGACTGATTGTTTTCACCAAACTAATTATCTTTCTTTTGTTTTTACCTTATTTATGGAATGGACTAGATTTTACAATCTGAAAGGAATCTTAATTACAATTGGACTGTTCGTTATCTCAATCCCGATGGTTTGGCAATTTCTTGGATAAATGCCAGCTTTCGATTAAATGCTGAAAAAGGATTGAACAATGGTCAACTTAATTTACGCTGTTCATCACTTCAAGCACAAATTTCTGGCTACTCTTATGATGAATTGATTGTTGATGAGACAGGCTATTCAAGTAAAATTAATGAATTCTATACTCCACCCAATCAAATGCCGTCATATTCAATTAAATCATGGTCTCCTTTCATACATGGATTAAGTGAAAGACCAAGAGTTGGTGATTATTTAACAGTTAATTGTACTGGACCCAAATCACATCCATCTGTATTCATCCATTGGTTTATAAATGGTAAAGAGGTACGTTAAATACCATAGGAATAACAAAAGCTCTCAAAGCAGGCGAAGCAATTAAGATGGTCAATTAATTTCTCATCATGATTAACCTTTGATTCTAAAACTCGGATCCAATTTATTAATTTTACTATTTTTCTTTCTAGCCTTCTGTCTATAATATTCAGCCTGCAATAACTCAATCAGATGTTGATCTACCTGGCCATCAATTTACATCTACAATTTATGATTATTTTGCTGCATTCAATCAAATGAATCCCCCATCTGCGAGTTTATCATTTAAAATCACCAAAAAGCTATTTCAGGTAACAGTAACATTTTCATTGCATTTTTAAATTGTATTTATTTCAACTGATTATTTTTTCTTTACTTTTAGACTGTTGATGGTTCCATGCGACTACGATGTTTATCTGTTCATGCAATTTTCGTTCATTCCGATGATATTCTGCTGACATTGTTTACTGAAAATGGCAAAAGCTCCAGATTATTGTTCAATAACTCACAATCAAGGATTAATTTCTCAATCAGGAATATTTTCGTTTCATATTTGATCAACCTTTTGTTAATACAATATGTACATAATAATTTGGTATTGTAAAAGTCGTTTATCCTCCATTGACGATTGCCATCGTGAAATTAAGTTTAATATAACATTAAACTATGCAATACTGTTTTATATTTTAAACATTTCTAGTATCACATTGGATCCAATTAATTATAAAATTTAAACATACATTTAAAAGTAAATGTTTAGAGTTAATTGTAAAAAAACAAAGAAAGCAAAATAAGTTATATTCTAATATACAGCCGCGAAAGAAAAGTTTGACATAGTTACCACCAACTTGACGCATATACAATCGTATCCAAGCACAATCAGCAAATCAATCTTCCAGCGTCTCATGAGCGGCCGTCAAAAGCGGGAC